AAGTGGTAGAGACACCTTTGTATTTGACTGCGGTGATGAACAGATATGATTGACACTCTGTGATGGTGCCGACTCCAACCACCCCGACAAGATCAGCACTAAGGGAACCGGTGCTCGAAGACAGTTTGGATTCGGGGTCTTGATATCCAAGCTCATCTAGCGAGTTGAGCAACTTCTGCATTCATTTATCCCCGATTTCTTGATGGCTACGCAGGGAGAAAGCTCCATTTGTGAATGCTAAGAATTTTCTGAAACCTTTCGAGAACATGGTTGTATGTGAGAACTATCCACAACTAAATGGGATGAACTACATAAGCGAAGACGGTGCCTACGCTCTTTGCTTGGAGCGATTGAAGACACTATTCTACAATACGGGGGGGAAATGCACCCCACACGACGACAGCTTCAACGGCTGGATCCAGACTTCGTAACCGAGTGTCTTGTATGATACATGTTGGAACAAACAATATCAAGACATAGATGCACAATATGGGCGCATTGACGAATGTCGGGACAATGGTTGTAGCGGCGATGAGAACAGAGTTATTGCAGCAGTGGGACGAATAGCTTTTCGACTACGCGACCCAACAAGTCAAACTACTTGAGCTTTGAGATTCGTCAAACTATGGAAATCCTCGAAATTGCCAAGAGCTCTCTGCAGCTTTTAACAACGCTCGCATCGAATCTATTCGACACGGCATCTGATGGGTTGGACGATTCCAAGGCAAATACCAACCGCTTATATGGCCACTGTCCCACAGCATCCGCCAACTTTTCGTGAATCTGATGGATACTATCTGAACTGATTTCCAACCACTCTACGAGAAGAATGAACTGTTGACTAAAGGTCTGTCGACTCTGACAAATGTCGATGGCAATATTGGCGACAGCCTGATTCCTGATACATCATTGGCAATCTCACCAACACTTGGCAAAATCGTGGACCACCACTCTCTCTTTCACTATGGATTCCAAGAATAACAATGCTTCTACTACAATTCGAAGGACATGGCTGCTTTCACCCTGGGTCCCAGAAGATGACGTCTCAGCCGAGATTGGATCTCGTCGATACTATAGTATCGTTATAGAGTGGCAACAAGTCAACGAGAAGTATCAAACATTTGCAATGGATCTATTCAATAATTCTGCATCTAACGTTTTCGCATGAACCTAAGAGATATCGATGGATGTCACTGAAACTATGAGGAGAGCGAAGTAGGACTTGACATGGATCTAGTTAATACTGCGGTTGCTGCGGAATGCAAAGAATTCTACAAAACATGCAAACCAGTTGTAGTGGATTTTGATTCCACGAGCGACACCAAGCCTTCCGACCAAGCCTCCTGCATTGCATGCCCGAAGGCTGGTATATATCATTCAAATCTTTCATGTATAGCTACGAGAACTGCGATCCCGCCGTGGTTAAGGATTTTTTAGGAATCGAAGGTTGGAATGAGCGGTCAAGTGGGGTTGCATTTAGTTGAAGATCTCACTCAATGCCCATTTTGAATTTGCGGGCGCCGTTGGTGCTGATGATCCTCGACCAACAGTGTGCTTGGAAAAGACAGCGATCTATTGTGTAAGGATAATGGATGAATTCAGCATAGGTGTTGCCTCACAGATGGAGTCGTAAAGCAACAAACAGCATGAAATGGTCCGTGTGCGGAAATGACGGGCTGGAAGCACTTGTGTGATTTTTAGTATGGGTTGATAACTTCTACCTAGGGCTCACTCTGAATCATTTCTATCATCTCATGACGCATGCATTTGACAAGTTTACCTTCTGCTCCATTTCTCTGGTTGGTCGCTTTGAATACTTGTGTAATTCTATCATGTCAGATCCTTGAGCTCCACAACGGCAAAGACTGACGTCAACTGGAATAGGGAACAATGATGCTGTAGCGAAATATGATGGAAAGCCTTAGGTCTTCCGCTGTATTTTCATAGCAAGTGACAACCAAGAGACTTGAATGTTAGTCCGCCATTCCACGAGCCAAGGCCATGAAGTTGTGGAATTCAAGATCGATGGAAAACGGGAGACGGCGGAGGCAGCATAAGCAGTGAAACACCACAGGTTCGATATTCGGTACTGCCAGCGCTTTCATTAAATGCCAACAAATAAGAGCTTAACTTCGAACTTCCAGAAAAAAAGCTTCATAGTCTACATCGGCCATCACATCAACATCGCAGTACATTATCTCACTGTCTTCAGATGGATTCATGGTGGCTTGATAACAGAACTGACGTGATGGTAAAATGAAAAACAGGATTTGGACGCCCCTCACGCCGTCATGGTGCAGCTGAGAATAGATGACCAACGAGGACCAGTCGAACGATCACAAGCACTGTCATGGAAGCATTGGGTGGAGACTTTCCACCCTCCGTCAGTTGGCGGTCATGCAAAAAGATACCATTTGATGTTGGCCGTGGCGTTTTCACAACCATTTCGCGGACTTCAGCGATCTTGGATCCCATAAACGCAGACCGCTTCCCGTACAATTGGTGTACAATCCTGTTGGCCTCGAGACAGCATACCCTACTGCACGGTATTTTGCCGTTATTCAGACAAAAGAACGAACAGACAAAAGTTTCCAATGATCTAACACAACAAACAGCCAACGCAGTACATTTCCACGAAGCACCTACGTGTTGACATCGATCTTATGAAACCAAAATTCGCCGATACAGACCAGGCCCGCGCAACATGTACAACTCACTGTCACCATTTCGAACCCAAGATCTTTTCTTTCCAAACTGAAAATCTCGTTCCAAGGCTCACAATTTTGAACGAACCAAAACAACATCTTTGCAATATGTTGTCCAACAGCCCCCTCGATATTTTCAAGCAATTCTACTCGACATGCCTTGTCATCTTCTCTGTGGTCATCGTCACCGCATTGATGTTCACTGAGAACACCAAGGTTGCCAACGATGCTCACCCTGTCGTTGCCCTTGTTGTCATGTGGCTCGGTATTCTTTGGATGAGTATGGTCGAAGGTGGACAATGCTCCATGGTTGGTCTTCCCCCAATTGACCGTGAGCTCTACAGAGAGTCCCACAAGATCACCTACCAAATCTGTTCTCTCGGACACAAGGGAGATAACCTTGACCGTTACCTCATGGGACGTCAATTCATGGTTATCTTCATCAACTTTACCATTTCTCTTTGCGGATCTCCTCTGGAGGGAGCCTCCGTTCTTGGTCTTCCACAATGGGTGTCTGACATCTTTTTGGGATCTGGTATTGCCATGGTGTTGACAAACGTGAACATTGGACAATTGACTGCCCAAGTGAACGCTTCTCACTGCATGCTTGACTACATCAACACGCACTTCATGACCTTTACCTTGTACTGCACCTTGTTGATCGAGATGACTGGATTCATGCACGTGTGCTACTTGATCCGTGACTGCTTCTACTGGGCCGCCGGAAAGCCCATTGTGACCAACGAACCACCACGCGATGCTGTGAAGGCCTTCTTCCACTGGGGACGTGTTCTCTTTTCCATGGTCGTCCTTTGCTTTTCTTTGGCTGTCACCCTTGAAGCTCTTTTCAAGGGACAAACCACCATGTGGGACGTCATCCCCAACTGGGCCGCAGTCATCATCTTCTTTGTGTTGCTATCCCTTGTCGGTCTTCTTGAGGCCATGCAAATTGCTTTCTTTGCCGTTTCCAAGCTGAAGAAGGAGGAACGCGGAGACCATCCCGTTGCCAAGCGAACCTGCGAGCTTTTGTTCAAGGGAGAGGGACGCAACCTTCCAGGATTCATGGTTGGACGTCAAGTCACCGTTACTCTTATCTTCTTCGTCGCCGCCCGTGTCACCACTTTGAACATCAAGATCGGAGAGGACGAGAACATTTTTGGTGTTTCTGACGGTCTTCAAGAATTCTTCAACTTGGGATTCCTTGGAGCCATCATCACCACCATCCTTGCCTCCATCTCTTGGCAATTGGTCGCTTCCGCCTTCCCCATTGCCTTCCTTTCCAACCCTTTCGTTTTCATCATGTTGAACGTTGTGTTGGCCATTGAAGCTACCGGTATCTGTGCCGCCTCTTGGTTCTTTGGAACCATCCACAAGAAGGTTGCTGGATTCCAATTGGATGAGGTTTATGTCGGAACTGCCGAAGAACGCGCCGCTGGAAAGCACCCCGATCGCTCCATTCACCCTGGACGTGACTTTTCCATGGGAACCAACGTCCTTGTTGGAAACCCCTCCACCTGGGAAGAAGCCATCCAGAACTTGTCTGGAAAGGAATCCTTTGCCACCAAGCGCGAACGCATGCAGTCTAACATTGCTGACTTGGAAGCCTTGTCTGCTGATGCCTCTCCTGCTGAGCAACAAGTGTACCAAAACGCCATTGAGATGGAGAACAAGGGCATGCGTGACTTGGAAGTCGAGGAGGAAGAAGCCAAGGCCGCCAAGGCTGAGGAAATGGCTTAAATGATGATGCCTGCCTTCAAACTGTATCAATATACTTGTGTCTGGCAACAATCTGCATGGACGCAACTACATGTGAACCAACCAGTACTTATTTAGATCGTGAAAGAGAGTAAATTAAATATATTCTCCAATATCATTTCCTTAAACCAGTAGGTTGCTGCTTCTCGATGAGTGCAGTAAGGTATGCTTGTTCGATATGATATTTTTCAGTTCTCAACTAAAGAGACGACACTGAACTGTAAAATAGTTTCAACCGAGTCCGTCTTTGTGACGTCACATAGCTCTTATTTGCCGCAAAAAGAAAATGAAGTAAAATTAGAGTTCGCATAAAACATATAATACAGTCTACCGGTATGTAACATTGCATAGTATCTATCATGCAGGAAAATACCGAAATGGTTGACAATGAAATCTTCATCGCTGCAATATTGTTTAGCATTCTAATTCTATTAATAGTCCTAATCATTAGATTTAGCATTGCTACATTTCAAGAGTTCCAGTTCTTTTGGCGATAGCGCGACCAGTGCCACAGTCTCGGCGTCCTTATTCACTGTGTCATCAATCATTTCCACTATCCGAATCATCATCGTCACTGCCAGAGCCAGCTTCGCTACTTGAATTATTCTCGCTTTGTGACTCCTCATCTCCATCCGAATCCTTCTCACTACCGGACCCATTATTGCCAGTATCCGAATCGTTTTCATTTTCGGTGTCAGCACTGCTTTTATTGGCAACAGAGCCATTCTCGCTTGGAGGGTCACTCTGCTTTGCGGTGGAGTTAGCGACATTCGATGAATCCGCGGACGAGTTATTTGATTTTGCTCGTTTCGTCGTATTCCCATTCTCGCCAGTGGATTTCCGTTTTGCATTTCGCTTCGTCTCGTAGTCTGCACCGTCATCAAGGTTGGCCTTTTGCATTTCAGTCAACTTTCCAAAGAGAGTGTCGTTCAGCTTGCGATAGTCAACCGACTTTCGTCGTCGCTTCCCTTCGACAATATTCCCTTTGTCGAAATCCACACCAATTTTAAGTTGCGCTTGACCTGTTTCTGTAGTAGACCGGAGTCGCCGGCTGCGGCGGCGAGCAACCGAGTCTGAGCTGCTTTCATCACTATCGCTGTTCTCTACTTCAGAAAGGGCATTTAGCTCGGCCTTGTCAATATTCATTTCAACGCTGGATGATAGCCATGTCGCCTGACTCGATCTATCGCCATCATCTTCGTCGTCTTCTTCGTCGTCTTGGTCCTTTCTTTTCTGTCTCTCCGCAAAGGAATCTTCATCGAAAAGGGAGTAATCATTTTCATCTTCGGAATCCGAGCCCATGGGAGTGGCAACCTTCGTGGTCCCAACAACGTCATCACCCAAGTACAGTGCCAACAATTCATTCGTATCATCATTCTGCTTTCCTCGAGAAAACTTGACTGCAGTCTCGTATTCCCATTTCGAGTTTGGAAAGACATCGTGAGGAGTATCCCATCCGTCTTCATCTTCCTCCTTGTCTTTTTCTTCTTCGTCGTCACTTTCGTCGTCGCCGCCCTCCCGAAGGGCGTCATAAATACCGTGCGTATAGTTGGCAGTAGCCGCACAAAGGGGACAGAACCAATCCTCGTCTTCATCCTCCAAATCTTGAAGCTTGATTTCGGGGTGAATGCACTTCATATGAAAGGCACGGTAACATCCTTCCCCATCGCACAGAAGCACGTCATTGTCATCCGTAGAATCACCAACCATGCAAATGCAACACTGAAGATCGTCCAAAGTGATTCCACTGTCATCGTCCTCAGTCTTACTCGTCGCCGTGCTTTGCTCTTTCTTGGAAGGACTGCTTTCTTTGGACTGGTCTTTGTCGTCATTGTTGTCGTTATTTTTGTCTCCACTAGATGATTCCTTTTCAGAGGGCGATGAACATAAAATCTCGGATGGAATCGCATCCTTGGAAGCCTCTTGCTGCTCTTTCTTTTTACGTTCTTGGTCCAGTTTCATTTCGGCAGTCCGAGGCGTCACTCGTCGATGATTCAAAAAGTAGTCAATCCCGTGAGGAACCACATGACATGCGTCTTTTGGATTTGCCTGGCACCATTCTCCCACCTTGATTGGATCCAAGCTGTTGGTACAGGAGGATACTCGCAAACTCTCCAAACTTTGCAGGATCTGCCGTATCTTGAATTTGGCAGCAGTCATTCTCAGTATAGTTTGCGCCAACTCCTGCGATTTGCGCCGATTGGATAGAATCATGGCCCGATTCCGTTTGACACTGGTGAGTGTATCTAGTGCCGCTGTTGCCAACCGAATATTGGATACTTGAGAACTCAAAAACGTCTTGACGCTCTTGAGTTGCCGTTGCCACAGTTTGGCCTTTTCCGTTTTGGTGTCGAATTCAAATTTGCGTTCCATTTCGGTGGAAGAGGGATTCGGAGGACTTGCAAAGAATGTTTTGGGATCATTTCGGATTGGTAGACAAGCCTTGTTGTGAGTGGTTTTCATATTGCAAATCAAGCAATTCCAATTGCCCTGTGGCAATTTTAGGATCGGAACAAAGTGACACTTTTGATGATACATTCGGTCACAACCGTCACAGTAAACCAAGGCATTGTGTGGATCATACATTTCTTGCGGCAAGTAGGGATCGTCCAATCCAAAGTAATACTCTTGATCATCATCACTGTCTTGGATTTCCTTCTTTCTGTCTTTTGCAAAAAACAAAGCACGATCACTGCAGTCAACCCCACAATGACAGAGACAGCAAGCAGCTTCTTCTTCCTCATCTTCAGAATCATGAGTGCTGCCACCATCACAGTTATTACTCTTTGTCGTCGACTTTGACTTTTTCTTGGTGTGATTCGTAGTTTCGACTGGTTCTAATTTCATCATACTGGTCAAAGCATCATCTGTAGCATTTTTATCCGACTGCTGCTGTGGTGAGGAACTAGTCTTTGCCATTTTGTTATCACCGTTTCGAGAGGAAGCACCATTCTCCGAATGATTTTTCGTTAGCGTCTTCAAAGCGGTAGTCTGCATCACTCCATTTGGAGGCAAGGCCACTTTGTCCTCATTTTTTTTGGGTGGTTCGTCCGTGTCGGCACTTTTCGAAGGCCGACTTTTCTTCTTGGACTTTGGTTTGCTCTTTTGCTCGCTGACATTCTTGCTATTGCTGCTACTAGTCTTCTTGGATTTGGAAGGCTTCTTCTTTGTTTTGGTGTCACTAGCTTTGCTTTCTCCTTTGTTGGTCTTTTTGGAGGGCGACTTGGATGACTTTGATGACTTGGATGTCTTAGTCGGAGTTTTTGTGGATTTATTGACTTTCGCTTTTGGACTTTTCCCTTTGAGCTTTAGGATTGGCGTTGAAGACAGCGATGATGCATAAGATAAGTCATCTAAAGCTGAAACGGGAAATGGCAAACGCGTGAGAAGGACAAAATGGAAGGGGATCGAAAATGTGAGAAAGACTTAAGCGTGACGTCAATAGTGTCAGACTTTCTTACCCTTCAGATTATTCTCAATCCTAGTGTTTTCATTCATTTTCGTTTCATTACGTGATTCTGCATTGTCTGTTTGACCTAGTGGTTGAGCTTTGGCAGCTTCCGCAGGCATTCTTTCGTCGGTTCGTGTCATTCAATGTCAAGCTTCTGTCCTGTCATTCATCGCCAATGATTTTTATCAAGTCCGTCGACTTCGTGAAAGCTTTGTGACATTAAATGACGTTGTGTCGCTTGGGACAAAGCAAAAAAGAACTAGGTTAGCATTGGATGTGGTCGAGTGGATCCTCGTTCTGGGATCAATTTGAAATTACAGGATCATCGGATAATACCGGTGGTACGTACAAATACTGGCATAATACTCATATGATATTGTAGATTCTTTTACCTACCTGCTGGTACGCGGCCAACACAAACAATCCAACCCGAACCTGAACGCACGGTCGCTCTTGGTAAACTCCTTGGGCCTTTTTCATGTCTGTTCACCATACTGTAGCCCAGAACACCGAAAACGGTAGCGTTACATTACATACGAGTTTTTCCGGAAGGGCCTGAAAATCAATCTTGGCATCTGTCCCTGCTGGCTTCGCAACCAAAAAGAATCCCTTAGAAGCGGAAACATCCAAGAGTGTTTGAGTCTCTAATCGCCGCAGAATCATGGCACACTCTTTGTGTCCTTACGACGATTGATTTAACAACACTTTTTAAGCGCCTTTAATTACCAAGGTATGCATCTGCCGTCCTTTAATTACCAAAATTTGATGTTTTCCAAGCCAATCCAAATCAAGACATTATTCGCAAAACCGATAAACTTCTCACTTTCCATTCCGACATTGCATGACACGCCATTCGCTTTCACTTTTTTGCGGCCAAACAGCCTTCTCCACTGAGAAGAATCTTCAAACACAATTTATACCCTTGCAACCCTGAATCCGTTATTCTCACTCATCGCAACATTCTAAGATCAAGCTTGTTGAGAAACCACAATCATGACACTTACACCATCTTCCATGTCCACAACCTCCACGACTCGGTATGAGATTCACGAATCTTCGTATGAAGAGTCATTTGGATCATCGCCGAGAGGTATCATGGATTTCTTGGACGATGAAATGGAAATCGACGACCAGCCCTTTATTCTCCGTCGTCGTCCGATTGGACCCTTCAATCAGATTTCAAGCACATCAGAAGAGCAGCTGAGGTCCTCTTCGCCTCCTCCCACCCTACTATTGAAACCAAGGCATGATTTCGCGAATTCGCTTTGGAATCATCCCAAAAATGCGAATGGCAATGCGAATGCTAGTGCCAACGCTACAAGAGCTCAAGGATCAAGACAACAGACAAGTACTTCCCGACCACTAGTATCAGCCAACTCGGACTCTTACTACTCGGCCCAAGAACCCACACTGGAGATTCAGGTTGAGGAGATTCCCAGTGGTCTTTTCCTTCCACTATCTTTTTGAAAGCTATCTGCATTGCATTCCATTTCATTTCATTCAACGCATCCTACGCATCGAGGATGATTTGTAGATTATTTCACCCATGGTACTCGGGCAAGCTTCAAACGTGTTTTGCGGCCCTGCTCCGTATCCGTACCTCCACTTTTTACACCTGTTTCATTGCTGATACAACTAGCATAATACACATTTAGAACATATATGTTATCATTTTACATTCCAAAGCCTCGACTGTGAACAGCAGAGTTCCTGCAGAGTAAAATTCTTCTAGCTTGCAACTCAGAAGTTATGATTTACAAAAGAGAGAAGAAGAGCGCACTCCTTCCTTCATTGCTACATCTTCGTTAGCCTCAAGACTCCCCAATCCTCATGGCAATGATCCCATTCATCGAACACAGCTGGGAGTAATTGGTACCTGGTACTAGTATTCTGTTTTCTCATCCTCATCATCGATAATACCGTAATACCGGTATCACATCGTGCCCTTGCTTGCGTCAAAACCAGAAAGCCACCAGAAGCGTGACATCACAGTCAGTGAGAATACCAGATGGTGAGTGATAATAAAACTTCACATCGACGTCACCTTGTCCGCAGGTTGCCAGATTCTAATTTGAAATTAGCGCGAGCGGACTATGGAAACGATATCGCTTTGATTGCACTTCAAATGATATATATGCCGCTAAGCAGTATTCCGCATGTTTTTCTTTCTACCCGGTACTGAAAAACCAAAATGGCATCCTCCATCATCAACAGCAACAACATTCGGTTCGCCACGATCCGGCAAGAGATCCAAGAAGCTTCGCGGGATGGCTCATTTGGATCAAGATCCAGCCAAGAAGGGTCATTTGGATCATCATCTCTTGTGAGGAATCGAATGATGCAATGGAAGCAAGGTAAGCAGCACTTCATATAATTCTACAATAACGTCTGAAGAATGATGGAACCCATAGAGGATAATCTTTCAATTACAAGATAATCATATTCAGTAATTGAGACAATAAGGCGCGAGTGCGAAGACTGACTCAGCGTTTTGGATATTATGATTCCAATGCGAGAATGTTGCACGCGCTCCAGAAGGAGAGAGCCAACAAGCCAACGCAAGCGATCACTTTCCAACCACTCTTTCTCAACCCACCAATCATTTGTTTCCCCTATAGACTTTTGAGAGGCCAGCATGATGCTAATTCGTTGCATTCAAGATCCCATCATACCCAGCGACGATTCATAGATTTAGCTTTGTATTTCGCACATTTCTTATGCATAATGCTTCATTGCCAGTACCAATATAAACATACTAGATATGTTTTATCGTACATAGTCCTGTTGGTGAGAAATGGACACAATAGCAAACCTTTCACCATCCCTTCGAAAGGGGAAAGCCTCGGGCCCTCGTAAGCTTAGGAGGGGAAGCGCAAGAAGATTGTTTCTAGTCCTTGTCCAATGCTTATTGTTGGTCTCGTTTTTCGACCGTAACGAGGTGTGCGGTTAGTATCTGTTCCGGTGGATGAATGTGATGGTGTAGTTATTGCGGTTTTCAATTTTATGATGCATGCGCAGAGTGATTGATGCCTGCGCATGTGACTGTCAGATCAGAATAATGAATATTCATATGTGTCGGTCCCGTTCATGGAACAGAAATAGGAGTAGGAAACTTTCATTCGGTTTTATCATCGTCATCATCATCATTATCATCGATATTTATCTTGTTCTTGTTTACGTAAAAAATGAAAGTAATCAGAAGCGTGGCATCAGAATACCATATATAATACTATCTTGCAAGCAACTAATGATAACATATCAACATCAGCTGTGCCCAGGATTCATTCGTATGCGATATAAATTCTCTAATTGTCCCGAAGGTTGCGCCAGATTTGTTCCCAAGACAAAGAAGCAGTAGTCAACATTTTTTTTGATACGCACCATCACTTTTTTGGCCGTCAAACGCACCAATTCTCCTACCGGATAGAATCTTCACAATCTACCCTTACAACCCCAGATCTTTTGACCGTGGCATTTGATCGTTTGCCTAGAGGCTCATAATAACAGCAAGACTCTTCCACACTGAGAAATCAAGATGGCAACTTCCTCGACATCTCCCGACACATCAACTACAGCAACATTCGTCACGACTCGGGATGAGATCCAAGAAGCTGCGCAACGAAGCTCATTTGGATCATCATCTCCGAGAGGAATCATAGATTTCTTGGACGATGAAGCGGAAGCTAACCAGTACTTCATTCTACAACGTCTGAATGGATCCATCAATCATTTTTCAATCACCACAGGAACACCAGAAGCTCTACTGACGTCGCCGTCAAGCCATCTTCCTGTTCCAATCGTACGATTGACACCGAGACACGATTGTGTAAATTCGCTTTGGAATCATTCGAATGCTGGGAATGGTGTCCCTTCCCGGACCCAAGTGTCGCCAAGACAACAAGCAACCACTCCCCAACATCTCACTCCTCCTCAGCCCACCCTAGAGTTTTCAGCGGGAGGGATTCCAAGCAATCTTTTGCTTCCACTAGACTTTTGAAAGGCCATCGAAACTTGCATTCACCCCATCGTAGGCAGCGATGAAATATAGATTCTCATGCGGCTATTCGGCGTCATTGCTCCGTACCGCACCTTTCTTATACATGCTTCAATATCAATAAATAAAACATAGAGATATAGATATTATCATACACACTGGTAGGACTATAAAAGAGATACAATAACAAATCTTCAAACCAGCAAAACCTCTTGATATCGAAGAATCCGCGATCGACTCAAACATCAGACTTGTTCCTCCTCCCAAACAGTCTAGCAGACTTCTAGTCGATCAGAGTTTTACCTACGAACTACAAAACTAGCATTGCTCCCTACTTCATTTGTTTCCGTACCACTGGCCTACTTCTAGATAGGTGGGTTTTTGCGGTACCAGATTTCGAACGACTACCTACGGAATAGCTTTTTCCTAAGATAGGGTAACATTTTGGCGGGAAACTGCCAAATAGATTTTTTGCGTTGCTGTCACGAGCCTTAAAAAAGGCGAATCTACCGTGGTGCGGTAGCTGGATTTTTAAAATTAACTTGCACTTACGTTTTACCCTGGTATTTTCTGATCAGATATTTGGTTGTTTGAAAAGCCGCTTGTAATCCAATGTCATCCGAAACTTGTTTTTGAGATTGATATGGCTTTGCAGGCTTTTCATGCTGAGCGATTCAATTTTACTAGCAAAGTTGAGTGGGACCCAATCAAAAATAAGGGCAAAGGCGTATCCACCAGGGTATGAAATTTGATGACATGTGCTTTCTTATCTAGATTCTGGTGACGCTAAGATACGTGTAGAGCACCGGTTTCGTACCAATATAGCATGCCGGTCATATTTTTTCTCGATCATTCATTTGTGAGAACAAAATGATATCGACACCACCTTACCCGTCGGCCTCAATAACAACATCCCCCACTCGGCACGAGATTCGCGAAGCTTCATTTGGATCATCTCCGACAGGCATCATGGATTTCTTGGATGACGAAATGGAAGCTAACCAGAACTTCATTCTCCAGAATCCGTATGGATACTTAAATCACCTTTCAAGCACAAGGAGGTCATCGTCAAGCGATCCGACTGCTCCCTTCTTACTATTGCAACCAAGGCATGATTGCACCAATTCGCTCTGGAATCATTCCAACAATGCGAATGATAATGCTACAAGAACCCAACGGTCGAGGCAGCAAACAAGTACTTCCCAACCACTATCAGATCGGGAGATAAAGTACAGTGTCTACTCGGATCAAGAATGCACGCTGGAGATTCAAGTGGAAGATATTCCAAGCGGTCTTTTGCTCCCCCTAGCTTTTTGAAGGGCTATTTGCATTGCATTCTTGTAGTCAACTCGTCCTACGAGGCGATGATTTGCAGGCTACAATTTCACTCATACATGCTTGAGCAAGAAGCTCCAATTCTTTCTACGCCCTTGGTTTGTATTCCGTACATACATTTTTCACACCTGTTTCATTGCTGATACAATCAGTATAATACACATTTAGAATATACCATCTTACATTCCAAAGCCTTCACTTTGAACATTGAATTGTTCTAGCTTAAAAACTAAAGGGAAGAAGAGCGCACTCCTGCTTTCTTCCTTCATTGCTGCAGAACCTCACGATTAGCCTCTAGACTTCCCAATCCTCATGACAATAATGGTCCCGTTCATCAAACAGAATTGAGAGCAATTGGCACTTTGTACTACTATTCAGTTTTATCATCCTCGTCATCGACAATATCACATCTTGTTCGTGCTTGCGTCAAAACCAGAAAGCCAACAACATCACAGCAGTGAGAATGCCCACGGCGGTTGAGGGCAAAACGAATGATAAAATACAACACGCATGTACGATATATCGATGATGTCGACATTATTCCGACATTTCGCACGCGATGTAAATTTCTAAAATGCCACCGGTAGATTGCGCATCAGATGCCACTAAGCAGTATTCCACATTTTTTCAATCTGACCCATCAACCACAACAACATTCACCATGACTCGGCGTGAGATCCAAGAAGCTTCGCGCGATAGCTCATTTGGATGACCATCTTCATACGGTAGATTTCTTCGATGATTCATGGAAGCTTACCAGCGCTTCATGATTCTACAAGAACGCCAGGATGATGGATGATGGATCATCTTTCAATCACAAGATATTCTGAAGCTCTGCGGATTTCATCAAGTCGTCCTCCTCCTATCGTGCGACTGACACTAAGGTGTGACTATATGTACCGGTAAACTGTTTTCGGAATCATTCCAATGTGAATGTTGCACGCACTCGTTGTTCACACAAAAAAATTATAATCATAGACCCTTAGATTGTCTTCAAATCATCATACATGCCAAAACAACTTCGAGTATTTAGTAGAATTTAATCCCGAACAGTATGGTTCCGGCTGGCAACAATCAAGCTTATGATTACAAATTGCTACTGGTATTGCTTTTATGAAAAGAGAAGAAGAGCAAACTCCTTTCATTGTTCCTTCACCCTAAGGAGAGCTGGTGAAAGTTTCAAAGTGTTATACTCACCACCACGTCTCTCCTGCTTTGTCTGTCTCTTGGTTGTTGGATTTGTCCTTTAGGGCCGCCGCGTAGCCAAATCGATCCACAGGTCTCGACTTCTTCGTGCGTGATGAAGGCTCGGAACTATCACTTGGAGGATTGGATGCCTGTGTCTTGTGGTTGTTATTTGATGGCGGCCATTCCTTAATGGATTTGGGCGGTGTATCGGCATACTTTGATTCTGGTTCCATCTCGAGGAACATTGGATAAGATTGGATGCCACCACTGGATTTTGCTGCTTTGAGCACCTCCTTCGCCTGAGCCATAGTCATTTTTTGAGTGCCTAATGGCATTTTGAATTGCCGAAGAGGGTGATCATTTTGCTTCGTAGCATTTGTCGACTCCGAAACAAGATCTTCGGAGGGTGGCTTCTCTTGTGATAAGACTGGCACTAGAGGCTTGGTTCTCACTATAGCCGCCATTTCTGCTGCTTGGTCCAAAGCACTGCCATCGTCATCATCATCATCTACCGCTGGAACTTCACCTTGCTTGTCGGGGGGCGATTGCTTGGCAACAGTGATGTCCTTCATCGAGCTGCTGACATGTTCGTTATCGTCGTCCTCCGCTTCATTGTTCTCGTGGTGTACGGAAAAGTTGTCAGTTTTTGTCGTTGAAGTGGAATCAAAACTGTGGCTCATCTCCAAATTTCCAGCGAACATTGCTTCATCGTCAACGGTAGCAGAACGCTGAATAAAAGGAAGCGGGACCTTTGTTGGGGTATCCTCCAACAAGCTTCGGGTTCGTGTAAGAATGGTGGGCGTTGCAAGATTGGATTTTTCAGTTGGAGCCTTTTTTGCTGGATGGTGGGTCTCGCCCTTCGATCGCATTGAGGAGTAGTTGGATTCATCATCATCGAGATGCTCTCTGCTCCTTCTTGCCTTTATCTCCTTTCTGGGCGCCATATTTCGAAAGCTCCCTGCCTTCTTCGCACGCAATGCGGAGTGGTTTGTCGATGATTCGTCATGTTCGTTCTGGATATCATCCATGCTCCTCCTTGACTTTCTCCCCCTCTGTGCCAATTTTCTCGGAACTCGCTTTGGCTTCTTCGGCTCCTCAGTCAATGGTACCCCCATCTTTGCCCGATCTGATTTCTCGTCTGTGGTTCTTAGAAGCTGAACCATCTCTTCGCCACCATGACTGCCGGCATACCCTCGTCCACCATGCGCGTTTTCTTTCCCAGGAACTAAACAGTCATCAACCATGGTCTTGGCACTTTCCTTTACCTCATTTAGCTTCAGTCTTAGATCGTAGTCATCGACCATAGTCTTGGCACTCTTTTTCGCCTCATTTAGCTTCACCCTGAGATCTGATTTCAAATCGGTGGATCTCTGGAGCTGAACCATCTCTTCGCCATCTTCAACATACCCTCGCCCATCCTTCACTGGAACAAGACAATCATAGACTAGGGTCTTGACATTATTCTTGCCTTCCACATATCCATCTGCAAACCAATCGGCAACATCCAAGGCAGCGTCCGTAGCAATATTATCAAATACATTGTTGAGACACCATTCTTCAATTGCAGGTTTGCTTGGCTTGTTCTTCTTGGTCGGCAATACCATGTTGGCCTTGCGATTATTTCGTCGTCGTACCGTTGGCACACTATTCACATTTTCCGATGCCGCAGTCCCGATGGTATCATCATCGTCGCTGTAGGGATATTCACCAAAGTCCTTGTTTCCTTGGGGACGTTCCACATCGGCTTCGTAATCTATGTCAGCATCAGCATCGTCTTCACAGGTACTTGCGCTGTGATTACTACCATGTAAATCGTCCTTTCGTCGTCGACGCTCGGGTCGCGGTGGCAGTCTCGATTCTGGAAAATCGGGTTCCATTTCCATTCGATCTAGGACCGAAACAGTTTTCCTGTTTGCCGCTGCAACAATGGTATCCAAACGATAAGGACTATCGATATACGCCTCGTGACTTTCATCAAACGGCATTTCATCAAAAGGCGAGTCTTCGTTGCGCGATTGTCTTCTTCGTCTCGTGGAAGAGGAAATAGACTTTTTGCTTGAGGATTGCGTTTTGAAGGGAGATGGTGTCACTGGTTCCGTCATTACAGTGGCATCATCCCGATCAGCATGATCGGTTTTGTTCGATTTGATGGGAGTAACACCGAATGCAGTGCTAGCCAATCCGAAATCAACCTTGATTCCGTTTTCCATGTTCGGAGGAGGACCGTCACAGTCAAATGAGGGACCGTCTTCATACGAATATTCCGAATCCACCATCTTCTTGATATCGTTGCTGTCTTCCTGCGTCTTCGCCTTGATTGGAGTTGACGATGATGATGTTCTTGGCTGCTCTTTTGTCATGGCACAATCAAAGGGTGTTTCATCACCACTGCTTGTACCATCACTACTACTAGTCTCTGGATTATACAGGAACTTGTCCACATGAGGTGCAAGAGTGGACTGCATAATTCAACACTGAGTTTCCGATGTGATAGAGTAAGATGGATAATTGAATGAATGCGGATATTGGTGGCATAGATGATTGATTGATTCTACTTTGTCTGATAGACAATAGTCGGACGCTTGCTTGTCAAGGATAGAAGACTCAATGGGATTTGCTCCAAATGAGAGACAGAATAATAATCCAATGCAATTACTGTACCGTAATTTATAACTTGAAATTCGAATTTTGCCAGTGTGAATTTTTGTTATGGTTGTGATAATGGAATCACATGCCAAGTACGCGGCCGGCGTGAAAACGGTATTTTTCAAAACGCTGCTTTTTGATTCAAAAAACTGTACCCAGTGAGTGCGCAATGATTCGCGCGAGTTTCCTGTATTTCAGTGGGATCATTATCGCAGTCCAAATTACCGTTGAAACATATCATCGCATTGAAATATTTGTCAATGCGATGACAATGATGAAGACCTATTAGCATGCAATGGATGATTTGGTGAAGGACGTTGATATCTCCATACCGAAACAAGTATAAATTTGTCACAGTGAAAGAAGAAATTCAAATCGAAGGAATCATTATCGAGTCCCGCATCATCATGTTTGATCATATTCCCCATCAACATCAGCCGTTTCAGACGTGTTATTGTCAAACAGGATCGTGAGGGTTTGAACATGGTTCATTTGGAACGTACCAGGTACCCTTTAGTTCCATACAGCCAGTCTCTTTTTTTTCGGCACACAAATATTACTTCTACCGGCACAAACAACAACAACAACAACAACATATTTCAATATGCATACCATCATCAAGAAAATGAAGGAGTTAAAGCAGCTCAGAGCTGAAGAAGAATCATCATCGTCATCCTGCACCGATACGGATGACTGCTCGAGTGTCGAGAACAACACTTCGTCCAACCAGTGCCATACAAAAATCGATCTCAAATCAAGACGAAAGCAAATCCATTCGAAACGGTTCCGACGCCGTCGGGCATCTGATAATAATAATCATGCAGCAGGAGCAGCATCCGACGCCAAAGTGGTGCAAGCCTTGAGACATGAAATTGCCACGCTAAAGTGCAAACAGGATCAAATGGAAAGCTATCGAATCAATTTGGAACGGGATCATCGCTGTCGTCAAAGGCAGCTTGTGGCTATGGAATTTTCAAAACAAATGACCGAGATGAAGAGCCGCGAGTTGGAACAAGAAGTTCGGGACGTTGTGGAGGATCAACTTCGATTTGACAATCAGATTCGTTACCATCAGGATGTCGTCACCAAACCCAAGATGGAACAATACTATACTGCTGAAATTGGATTGCTCGAGATCGAGAACAGAATCTTACAGCAAAAGTTGGAACGATGTCAACACAAACGACATCTCTCCATGCTCGCTGATCTACCACCACAGATGTGATGAGATTAGCCAACAAAGAAGAACAAAAACCAATCCTGCTTGCGGTACAATTGAAAGGAGATTACATGATCAAACGTTGTATTTTAAAGTCTTGAAATTTTACACTAGTCTTATGCACCCGTGTTTAGCTTTTTATTGTGACACATTATGATAGCGTGCAGTGGAATTCAAATTTTCGAACATTTGGGAGCGGAGAGATATACCTCTTGTTCAACCAACATCCATCATGGATGAATGAATCTCGTGCTCATTCTGATTTGAAAAGTATCTCGCCGATTGGTGACACTGTGGGCCGAGAGAGTAGCGACAGCTTCTTGAATGACCTTGATGGTGTGCTCCTGGTGATATTACTAGCATCTTGTTCTGTTTCATTGCATTGTTGACCACGTTCTTCTTTCCTCCTGACGAGAGAAAATGTGGGAATCATTTCTTCTTCGTCGTCGTCGCTGTTGTCGCTTGTTTCTTCTGGGCACCATGTTAGCGCTGGAATGTCGCGCATTGCACTTGTGGACATGCAAATGGCCCTGGTGTCGAATTCTTGTGTCACGTTTCGCATTGGTGCCAGTGCTCCTCCCAAGAAGAATGCTCCTGAACAAAAGAGAGGATCAGAAGAAGTTGACCTGCTGGAAGGAGTTTCAGTTCCCTGCTTCGGCCTTGTGCTGCTAAGGCTTTGCATTGTTTGTGTGCTTGGGAGGTGAAGATGATGATTCATGATGATAACGAGCGAAAGATATAGGAAATTGTGTGTTGGTGTCGGAGGGGGGTGATTTTTTTTTCCTTTCAAGAAAGATCGATGTTCACCTTTTATGGCGCGGTCGCAATGTTCAATTGTGTGGGTGCAGTTTGACGTTTGACAAACTATATATATTTAGTTAAGGCTTTTACGTGTACTCTAAGAGTTGTCGTAAAAAGAAATTCGCCAAGATCACAGACCAAAATAAACGTCAGATGCTATGCTAGTTTTGATTGGCTGTTTTTTCGTGCGTACTATTTGGTGCGGATTTTTTCGGAAGTGCTGCATATTTAAAAATATATCTGACACCAGATTGTTCCTTCGAAACTACCGGTACTTTCAACTTGTCCTTCTTCTTGACACCTGGGTGTCAGGAATACTTGTACACGTACTGTATGGCATGGGGGGTGTCAGCTAGGTGCTAATATATAGGAATACCAAAACCAAGATCCCCAACAGAATGCAAACATGTCAAGCTATACACAGTAATAAAGTTGCGTGACGGGATACTAGTACTACCGGTACTCTTTTATACTTCCTTACTCTTTCAATGATTGTCCTGGTTGTGAGGCTGACATGTTGTTTGTTGTGTTCAGGTGAAATATACATAGGTGTGGGTGATTCCTAGTACTTTTGCTGGGTGATACTATAATATATACAACCACAAACCACTAGTAGCAGTCGTCGTACAAAGAACAATACGCAGCAAGATAGTTGTAGGAAGTACTGGTATACTACCGAATGCATGGTGGATGGATATGATCGTGATGATTAATTGATTCAGACCACGGAAACAAAGATTTTGTCTTGACACATGTAGCTACTACTAAATAGCTAGTAGTAGTAGCAGTAGAAGTAGCAGCAGTAGTAGTAGTAGTAGTAGACGATATGTTTGTCAAGAAGCAGAGAAGAATGAAGAACCCCCAGCCAGGAAACTTATGGATGATGCTCCTGCTCGTTGCTTCATTGCTCTTGTCATCACGATGGATATCGAGGTATATATGTAGTGTACATAATCTATAGGGATTGATGGGCTGACATGAAATGGATCAGACTCAAGAAGAAAGGACCAAGTCCTCGATCCTCAATGTTGGATGACTTGACAACCTGTCCCTGTATTTGCCGATGGGATTTACGGATCTGACTGCTGACTGACTTTCCCATTTCAGTTATTGACTACTTCGAATACTTTGACTCATCCCCGTCAAGTGTACGGTATAAAATAATACAAAAAAAGAAGCATCGGTGCGTGAATGGCACCATTGTTCGCCGCCATATCCGAAAGAGAAAAAGGATCGTGGGTTCTCATCGTAAAGGTTCTCATCGTAGTTAAAGCCACTTCAAAGTCGATCTTGGTTGTGACAGTGATGTGTATCATTTATACATATACCTACGCCCTTCACCGCACCGGTCAGTAAACCTACCATTACTGATCAATCCATGAAAATGTGATTGAATACGGTAGCAGACTGCTCCTGCTGTATCAAACAATCTTGATAAAGTTGGTTTGGTGTCATGGGAAGAAGACGAAGGTTCTCGTTTTGATCATCAACATGCTGGTGTGAGATCGAGCACTACACGATATTATCATACTCGTATACTGACAAAAGAGCTTCCGTCAATCTGGGTGAGAATAATAATCAACTAATCAACTGAACCCCCACCACAAATACGGCACCGGTACCTGGTACCAGTACCGTACCACTATCTCCACTGGTACCGGTATTTTTTCCATTGACAGTTTCGATTTTCCATGCTTCGATGATGTTACAGTACTGTAGTTTTTTAATTTCTATCCGTTGACGCGCGACTGTCATGCCGAATTCTTACAAACTTCGTATCATAGTAAATTTTTAACATTATGGCCCCTTGAAGATACCGTTGTGTTAAATATCTTGCGCTATTTACAAGAATATCAAATCGAGAGTCAAGATTGAATTGTTAAAGGGAATTGGTGCACTCTTAAATGAGCAGCAAGCCGGAATCGCTCCCAACCACATTTCCTGCCAGTCGAAACTTTTCGCCTCCTCACTCTCTTGCGTGCGAAACCCACCTGGGACTTGAAAACGGAAAGGTGATTTCGAAACCGTGCGATTATTCTGTGTCTGTCTTTTAGTAACCAGTGAATCATTCATCCATCAGTGTTGCAACAGAACAACAACACAGAAGAATAGAAACAATCTAATCACACAAACAATCTAGTATCATACAACAGCATCAGTATGTCGTATAGCAACATTGACGACGTCTACGTGCGAGACAACACCGATTCCGGAGAAGGATCTTACACAGGATTTGTGTGCAAACACACGCTGTTGCCGCACGGTCAAGGTTGCATGAAATACTTTGGCCGCGACAACAACCTGGTATCGTATGACGGTGAATGGGATCAAGGAATATGGCATGGCTATGGCTCTCTCATGTTTCAATCCCAAGATTGTTACGTTGGTGAATTCCAAAACGGTAGCCGGGAAGGGAACGGAACTTACATGTGGCAAGATGGCAGTCAATACGAAGGCAGGTTTGAACAAGATGCCCGCACTGGAAAAGGACGTTTCACTTGGCCCGATGGTAACTTTTACAAGGGGGAATTTGTCAATGGAAAGAGAGAAGGTCTTGGACAATATACGTTTCTAAAGTCAGGTGATATGTACAGTGGACACTGGAAGGATGGTCATTACGATGGATTTGGGTGAGTGCAGACGCGGGAAATCACATATATAATCGCTGTTGTCGTTGTCGTCGTTGTTGTTGTTGTTGTTATCATCCTTATTGGCAATCAAGCTAACATCAACATGCTCTTCACTCATCATTGCAGTGTCTTCACTTGGTCCGATGGCCGAACCTACCGTGGCAACTGGAAGAATTCTCAACGTCATGGAAAGGGAACCGAAAGCGACTGCGATGGCAACGTCGTCTACAATGGCATGTGGGAAAATCATCATCCCGTCGTCTCAGATAAGGACTACAAAGAAAAGGTTGCGGCAAAGGAAGAAGAGGGGGAAAGTCCCACTACTACTACGTTTGCCACTCCCGGTACTACTACTACTACTACCAATCCTCCACCCGCCAGAAACATCCCCTTTCCGTCTCAACAAAGTCATCGAACGGCACATTAAAACGATGACAACGCTGAGCGATGCGTCAATGGCAAGGAACGCAGATATACTGGATGTCCACCCGGAGGCAATCAGATGAAGTTCCCGTTGTTGCACTTCTTGTCAAGCAAGCAAGTAAAAGCTGCTTGTATGGTAGAATACCAAGCCAGGAATATCGACCTCGTGCAAGAAGGCAAGATGCACATATCCTGATTCTATCAACTACTGCTGCTGCTACTGCTGCTGCGATGTGAAAAGAAATTCATCTCCGGGATCATCCATCATCCAACATTATTATATCGCCCACCGAACCTGCCTCTAGTGGAATTTTTTTTTTCCTTTCCAAAAATGAAGGGATTCGTTGTTCCATACCTGGGTTACAACAGGAAACATGATTTTGTTGTATCATACGGCAACTCCTCCCAGCCGCTTGAATCCAGGAATTATACTATTGCCAAGACACAAAACGAAACAGACCACACACACACACACACACACACAAGAACGACCCATATATACTACTCCGTGCAGTCAGAACATACATATTATACATATCGTACTACATAAAACATAGTCATACCATATTCCATACGCATATCTGATATAGCAATAAGAAGAATCCTACAACTATCATCAAGCTGCGGTCTTGCCATCTCATCATTGTCATTGTCATTATTATTGTCGTCATTATCATCATTATATCCATCATCCATCATCCGTCGCAAGAAGGTCCTTTCCGTGGAATGCATCGTCGACCTTGTTCGGTCGATCCAAACACTACACCACTGCCTCCTTGCAACCGTAACATGGGATATCGTGCCAATCGCAAATGTTTGCTGCTGTTGTTGTTGTTGTTGTTTTTGTTGTTGTTGTTTGGTGTCGAGTTGTTATTGTTATTGTGCATTGCATTCTTTTCAATAGAATCCATAGCATTGGGTACTTTACCACCAGCATGATTGTTGTTGTTGTGGACAAAACCACACGTCCACCACCAATCGTTACAGGGTACTTGATGTTGACGCCATCCAAATTCTTTGGAGCGGCCGGGATAGGGCAATACTAATGATGATGATGATGATGATGTTGATTCACCACCAGCACCAGCACCAGCACCAGCAGCACCAGCATATTGTATATTGTCAAAATAAGAATCATCATCGCAACAGGAATCCATGGGATACTCCAAAACAGTAATGTTGGAAAAAGGCAGGATATCGTCTGGAAGCAATTGAGAATAATATAGCAATGATGATGATGATGATGATGATTGCTGATTGTGGTCTTGCTTCTTGTTCTTGTTCTTCTTCTTCTTGGTACGTGTACTTGTAGCATTCATGATGCGTAGTAGCATTATTTCAAAATCGGCTTGATGTGGCAATGGTTGCAATCGGTGTGGAAAGTAGGACAATCCCTCTTCGTCCATGCCTTTTTGGAGTAACGACAACACCCATGGTTTGGTATGTAGTAACAAGTCGGGTTCGGTGAGAAAGACATATTTCCAATACTCATGAGGATGATCCTTATGATTTTGATCATTGCCACCATCATCCTTTTCTTGGATCCCCAACCATTCTTGTTGTCTTGTCATATTGTGTCTCATGTATCCCTTCAAGGCCGTTTGCAAACCAATGACGACTCCCATTTGCAAATTGAATAGTTTCTTGCGTCGATAATTTCGGACCCAGGTTTCATCGGTAATGGCAGCATATCCCAAAGACGTAATAGTAGTAGTAGTACTATTGGTAATGTCGCCATTCTGTGTACCTGGTCCTTTCTTCTTGTCTGCACTTTCTTCTGCAGCATCATCATTTGCATCCATGGTACTAAGAATCACATTCTGTGGAAAGGCTGCTTGTACCAATCGAAAGGCCTCTAGCACGCAGAAAGGGGGAATTGATTCTTGTTTTTGTGCTTGTTTTTCTTGTTCCTGTTCCTGTTCTGGATGATGATGATGATGATGATACCCCACCACTAGAATTCGTCCAAATCCCGCCGCCACCATGGAAGCAATGGTGGCTGCCAAGGAATGTACCGTCAACAAATCCTCTAATTCGTTTTGCACTTGCGACTGTTGTCCTTTTGATTGTTGTTCTTGCTCCATTTGTGGCAATCGATATGGTTGAAAGGCAATGGCCGCAATCGTTCGTTGCATGGGATGATCCTCTTGATGTCGTCGTTGTTGTTGTTGTTGGTGATCCCGTTCGTTCCTTTTTTTACTGTGGTACTGTAAATTCCATCGTAGTTGTCGTGGTGCTTGGATTTGAATGTATCGTTTGAAAATTTGGACGATTCGATCCATCAATAATCGTTTGACAGCATCATGATCATCATTAGTAGTAGTAATAGTAGTATACTCGAGTAGTTTGTACAAAGTCTTCCACCAGTGAGAAAAGTGTTCCACAGCCAAAGACGTCCAATCTTGCATCATTTTGGCTTTTTGGTTGCCATTGCCAAACGACGAAGTTTCCAAAGAAGCCGATTCCAATTTGACATAATGCCGCGGTCGAAGCTGTTTCAAAAAGGTCTCGCGTGGTACCAAGAAAGATCCGGAAAAGTAATCCTTCTGTTGCAAGTGATGGCTTGGAATGTATTGCAGTTGTTTGGGATAATGATCATGATCATGTTCATGTTCAAATTCATGGTCTTGTTGTGGTTGTTGCTGATGAGTATTTTGTTGTTCTGAAAAATCATCATGCTGATCCTGCTGCTGAAAGGATGATGATGATGAAGCATCTGATGAAGCATCTGATGACAATAATAATAACGGCAAAGAATCAACTTGAAAGAGTTTCATTGAATCTGATGATTGTTCCCTCAACAAGACTATGAGCAAAAGAATAAGACTGAATGATAGAATGAAGATTGGACGACGAATGCATCTGAATCTCCTCTCTTGTGATTGTCGCGGCTGATTCTTCTTCCTATTGCTGTTTCGTCTCCTCAGTAGCTTACTATTATTGTTTCGTCGTCGTCGTCGTTGACTTTGTTGTCGTTGTTGTTGTTGTTGTTTTCGTTTCCACCAATTTACATTCATTTCATTTCAGTTTTTCATTACTTTCAAACATAGCCGACACACACACACATCTATTTATTGATGGATATATGATGATGATGATGGATGATGGATGCGATTGATGAATATGGATACTGTATGGATATATGGAGAAGAAATATATACCCCATTGACTCGAATGAATCAATCAATCAATCCAATCAAAGAGACCATACCACTCCCACAAACAACCGATTAATACCTGCCTGCCTCGCGGCCACAATAGGATACCCACGCACAGTACCGGTAGCACCCTGCCAATGATAAGAGTGCCTGACACGTGCGTGCCATTGGTTTTGATCCTAATAAGTCATTTGTGGGAATCCGAGGCCAATTTCGTCGAATCATAGAGATTTAGTTAAGGAGTTGGAACAAGCGTAGTTTCTACTTCCAAAAGTACCACAACGGAAGGACGCACCAACGCGTTGCAGAATTTGGGGCATGGCGGGCAATTTTTTGGATTTTTGGGACGAAGAAAAAAATATCGGTTTTGGAGGGAGAGTGAGTGAGAAGATTGTTGGTACGATTCCAACGTATTTGCGTACGCATGGTAGTAGATGAGATACGCTAAGAGAACAAACTAACGAAACAACAACAACAACGACAACGACAACGACAACACCAATCCCAATAGCCGCAATCTACAGTACAGTAGTAAAGCGGCAGTGTTGTAGTATCGATTTGTAGTCTCAGACCAAAGCATCAAGTTGAACAACAACGACAGACTCACTAAAAAGAGAGCGCGTTATAGGATTCGTAGATTCGAACGAACAAACAAACAAACAAACAAACAGACGAACGAACGAATTGATCAACAACAAGAAGAAGAAGAAGAAAGAACAACAACAAAATGGCAATGGCAACTGTCAGCGCAACGCCCAATCCTACTACTAGTAATCCCAATACTACAACTATTGCAACTTCTTTGGAAGAACACGAGCACGAATTTCAATATCTAAACAAGGAACAAGAAGCCTACTCTGGCAATAAAGTATCCGAGGATGACCAGGATAATGTCCAGGATAATGATGATGATGATGACGTCTCTCCGGATGACATATTGGCCCAATTGAATGCCGCCGAACAAAGCAGCATCCATATGATGAACAACAAAACAAACAATAACGAAGCCTCTGTCATGACTCCCGCCACGTCTACCACGACCCCCACCAAAGACAACAAGACTGCATTGTTGTCGTCGTTGTTGTTGGAACCTCCAGCAGCTCCCATGAAACAACAGCGGGAAGAATTATTTCAATATTACGATGCCGATGAGGAATCGGTGGAGATTAGTCATTTGATTCCAAAAGAAGAGGCACCCCCGTCTCCCATTCCGTACATTCCTGAAGAAGAAGAAGAGGAAGATTATGTGGTGGTGATGCAAGAACCAGCACAAGTGGAGGAGGGTCCCATTGACGAACCCTTTGATTGCATGCCCGTGGACGATTCCGAAGCAGGCATTCTCAAGAAATTGGAAAAGGTCGTACAAGATTCCGATCGTGTCTTGCATCCCAATCAGCCATTGAAAGTTGCTGCTGCTGCTGCTGCCGAGAATCACGAAATGGCCATTGGGATGACACCCTTGCGATCCGGTGATCCCATGCGTTCTCCTGGAACCATGAGCGATTGTGGGAATTCCACCGTCACTGGTGGGACCGGTTTCACCAGAGCGTCGGTCAAAATCATGGGAACAAACAAGCGTCCCCAACAAGCCGTCATGAAATTGCGGGTCAACGATTATCAATACGAACCATTGGAAAAGGTGACCAATCAGGTGGAAGATTTGCCCTTTGATGAAACCACCTCGCACAATTTCAAGACGGCCTTGCGGAATATGATTACCACGACGGCGGCCACGATCCAAAAGGCGGCCGCCAAACATAATAATACTCCCGATACGACCATGATGGACGATGCGGATACCGACGACGATGATACTACGACTCTGGGTGGTGAGGACGACGACGACGACGAATGGACGGCTGACGATACTTCCAAATACACCGACACCGATGGAGACGATACCACCACCTTGGGAGATTCTACCGTCGATACCGACACTCCCATGGACGAAGCTCCGGGCAATTTCAAAAAGAAATCGGCAAAGGCCCGCCGTCGTCAACGACTCCTTGAAAAATCGAGACAAATGGAAAGCAAATCGAAAGCAGACTTGGGATGGGACGAAACCCTGTTGGATGCCGTATTCAGCCCAGATGTCATTGAAACGGGATTGGAAATGGCCGACTTTTTGCAATCGGGAGCCGAAGCCACGGCCAAAATGACCAAGAGCATGCTGCAAGATGCTGTTCGTAAACTAGAACAGGAAGAAAAGGCCTTGAATGGTGAGGTTTTACAGGACGACGATGATGATGATGATGGTGATGATGATGATGAAGAAGAAGAAACGGATGCCGGAGAACGAGCCTATCGAAGTGTTGCGGCAGCTGCTACTGGATCCAACTTGCAAGGTAATGATAATTATGATGATTATGGTGATGAACATGATACCATGGGTGAGGAATACACCCTCGAAGATGGTGATACTACCACTCTTCAAGATGGTGATACTACCACTCTTCACGATGGTGATACTACCACTCTTCACGATACCGAGAATGGGGATGCTTCTGCTGCTGCTTCTGCTGCTGCTACCAGTGTCAAGGATCCATGGGACAATCACAACAACAACAGCAACAACAGCAACAAGAAAAAGAAAAAGAAGGAACCCAAATTTGCCGATCTCTTGCAAAAGGGAATCCCATTGGTCAATCGCAAATTGGAGCGAATCGTCAATGATTGGAGGGCTTCGAGTAGTAGTAGTACTGATAATCAGTCTACCAAAACAGACGATGCCATTGCTCAAGAGAAGAATACTCCTACTCTAGCTCCTGCTGAAGATCGTGTTTCAGCAGCAGCAGCAGCAGCAGAGACTACTACTACAGATGATGTTGCTTTGGCCGAACCAAAGGAAGAAGAAGAAGGGGCGGCAACAACACCACCACCAACAACAACAACTTCTGCCGTCGAGGAACCATCAGTGGACAATAATAAGGCAATGGCCACCGATGCTGCCAGCACACCTGACAAATCAGCTCAAGCAGTAGCAGAAGCAGTAGCAGAATCAGAAGAAGCAACCGAACAAGAACAAAAGGAAGCAGAAGAGACATCCAGTGCCATGGCACAAATGGAAATGGAAGATCCTCAGGCTTTGGAAGACGAAGAAGAAGAAGAGGCATCGGCTGGAGAATCGTTGCTCTCCATGGACAAGCCTACCAAGCGATTGTCTGTCTAAAAATGGATGATGGCATCATAGATCATAATAACCAAACGAGAGGAGGAATCATTATCAAATGTCAAGAAAGGATCGTGGCATTTTGCGGTGGGTTATTCTCCTGTCCATTGATTTCAAATTCAAAATTAACAGTAGGTCCTAGTATACTAATATAATACTAATAATACTCTACTTGCATGTGTACCATAAAACAAGTATCATTCACAGCTACTTTTATAGCTACAGTATGAAAAACGCAATAAGCCATCATGTATTAATAATTCTATAGAGTATATAAGCAATATGTCAAATTTGCAAACCAAAGCAAGTAGCAGTCAATCTATAATATGCATCTTTTACCCACAAGGAGAAGGTAGAAGTAGATAGTAGTAGGGATCGTAAGCTCCTCACGGCATTTCATCACCCGCATCGTATTCATTGTGTGTATCTGGCGACTTGCTGTCGTCGTCGCCGTCGTCGTAGTCGTTGCCATCATCCAAATACCGTCTTCCTGGTAGAGATAGCAACCAGAGTAGCATGGTGAAGAATGGAATGGCAACAAACAAAACGATAATTGTCAGAATGATTGCCCCCGTTGGATTTTCCCTCCACTTGACAGCATCGTAGAGCGCATCGTCGTCGTCATCCTGATTCGGATTGTACTTGACCGCAAGGTTCTGAATGGCCAGCCATATATTGTAGGCTAGAGCAATTGGAGCCGTCCCGAAAAGGTTATGCTTGATTCGTAATGGAACTCGATCTACGAACAATCCTTGTAGTAGCACAATGACCAAGAGTCCACCATGCGTCATGACGTTATTGAGTTCCACTCCTCGCGCGGGAGTCCAGACAGCGGTCCAATAGAGCCCGGCAATGCAACATCCCAAGACTGCCGCCACCGAATAAAAGAACCAGGCAAATTTGACCAACACTGTGGCTCGTTCCCGGGTGGAATTGTCAGCAAACCCACAGGCAGTCACACAAAAGGAAGCGCCCAAGTACCAAATGCAAAAAAAGACTCCCCAAGGCGTTAGATAAGCAGCATAAAAGGAAGGCTCGGGATTCTTGTAAAAGGCATATACCAAGACGGCAATGGAAATGCAAAAGGTGATTAGCTTCGTAATGCCCACCTTGGACTTGACACCTTGACCAACATGAAAATGGGCGTTAAGATCCAATCTTCCCTTGGGTGGTTCTTCCACGCTGAATAGAGGGTTCTTCAATTCGGAACAAAGGTGACTGCAGCAGCTCATGTTGATGTTGTTGATGTTGTTGTCGTGTTTTGATGTGTAGAACTTTGTTGATTGATAGCGCTGCTGTACTAGTAAGCTCTATGATGTATATATGCTATACTGCTACCAACTGCTGAGAATACAGTACAAGTATATTGAATATTCTGTTCCTTCTTGCCACACTTTCAATGATTGTGCAGATCGAATGCGAATTTGCAAACGATTGTGCGGCATATGGTTTCTTTCGAAATGGTTTATTGACCCAGCGGGAAAGACATTAGAATTGTACCTACTGGTATAAAATATATACCGGTATGCGTGCGTACCGATATATATAATAAAAAATAGAACATCAAACGGAAGGTGATTATTTTATATTTTATCGATTGGATTGATTGATTCAACTGCCCGAAAATTTCGTTGCATCATGTGACGCCGGCAGTTTCGACTTCTTCGACTAGAAAGAGCTCTCGAAACAGGCATTTTTGCAAGACTACCAGTATAAAAACTTAAAGATACCAGGTACAGAACACCGGCGGAATATTCAATTCAAACGCTTCCACTTAGTACTGCAGTAGAAAGAAGATCAAACAGTTCCACCGCACATCAAAGCGAAGCAGGAGAGAATTGTGCACAAGTACATCCCCACAACTCATGTCTTTCAGCTGTTGAGAACCGTCCGACGTTTATTTTTTAAGTAATCATAACTGTAGTTATCATTGGCACGTGCAGTTGAACTATGTAAATGGAATTAGCTGTATTTAAATTTATTTTGAGGCGCGCCTGAAGATTCGAAATTTTGGGTCATCCTTTGGGGCCATCTGCCAAAAATCACCGTTCCTCATCCGACGCTTTTCGCCCGTTGGATTGCAAATGCAATCAATGTGCCAAGTGAGTGGATGCGGGAAGAAGGATGACGTGAGTGACGTTTATCGAATGCGAATGTTTGCAGGCAACACCAATGACGACTATGGTGAGTTGAGAGTGAGTGAGGATGTGAATGTGGATGAGGATCTTTCGACAATGGGACTCATCCGCCTGTTCCGCTGCAGTCGTGCATTCTGATTGAAAAAGTGTCAAGTTCTGATCAGATAGGATAGGTTTAGTATAACCACGCACTCACCAAACCAATGACAACTGTGAATTCTAGACTGTAGAAGCTACTGTGTATAACAGTCTTGTAGCCGTAGCTTGTCATTGAATTTGGAGGCGATTTAGAAGGTTGTTGAAACGTTCTTGTGAAAACAATGCTTTAGTCTCGTTTAGTCCAGTTTCCAACAATGACGACTTGAAGAGAATAACTCGTCCTATACTTCCATGTCGTATCATTCTCGTAGTAGAGTGTAGCATGCAACTAGTCTTGGACGCTTGACCATGATGATGTACCCCCCTTAGACTACTTTAGCAGCACGGAGCGAAATAATCCTTCCTGAAAAACACATGCCCTCCTGTGAGAATGAATCAGATCCTTATAATCGATACTAGTACAGACAAATGTAAATGATTGATCTAAGATGATTCTCTAAAATAGTAGTTTTAAACACTATGCTCTTCTTCTTGTGGAGCTTTGTACAAATGTCTGAAAACTGATGACTGAATGAATCGAATGAATGAATCTCGTGCTCACTCAACCATGCAATGCATTGCTGCAATGCAATCGCTCATTCGTCAAATGGTGATACCTCAGGCCGAAAGATCAGCTTCTTGCAGGACCTTGATGGTGCAATGATGGTATCTTCTTGAGCTTCAACACCACTTCGTTTCCTCTTGAGTGAGAATGTGGGAATCGTTTCTTCACCCTCGTCTTCTTGAAGGTCATCCTCAAAGTTGAGTGGTGGAAGTGCGAGTTTCTTGCTTGTCGATGAGTCGATTGGAGGCAAGTGCAATGTCCTCGTTTCAATTTCTCGTGTGTAGTTCCGTCTTGGTTGCAATGCCAAGGCCAATGCCAATGCCCCGCACGGGAGAGAACACGAGGACGAGTCTTGAGTGCTGGAAGTTGACCTTGAAGGAGTTTCAGTGCCTGTACTAACTTGTTTCGGCATTGCCATGAGGCTTCGCGCGGGTGAGTCTAGGGAAGGAATGTGAAGATGGTCCATGATGCGATATATGATATGATATGATATGATACGAGTGTCAGCTAGTGTGGATGGTTGGTGTCTTTTATGTCAGCTTGAGGTGCTCGTTATTCGTTGAGTTCCCGTTTTTATTTTGATTGGAAAATTGTGTGTCTTTTGCCTCAAAAAATTTCTCGCATCGGCACCGAATGGACGAACCGCAAACTGCAAGTATGATGTCATCGGTTTACGAAGAATTAGTACATGTTGTACGGTACAAGCGGAATCCCGTCACCGGATTCTCGGCGTAATATGTACGTGAGTCATTCCGATCGGAAAAAACCTTCAAACCAAACAGAGCACGTCAGATCGGTTCTAATTATGTCCTTGTCCCTACGCCTTTGTTCCCGTTGATTAACTATTTAGACCCTTCCAAACTTTTGATTGGAGACACGAGGATTCATTAAATGAAGTTCGCAATTTCCCGCCAAAAATGATATCCCTTTGACGGGACTTCCATCCACATCACTGTTCTTTTGGAAACATGGAGGGCCACAATAGGGAGGATGCATCCATTTTATAGCATTCGAGAAGGCGATTAAGAAGATGGTGGCCGTTGCAAGGCTACACTGTATGATTGATTATCTTACCTGTTTGTAAATATCAGAAAAGCAATTGGCCACAACAAGAGCAATATCTATCGTTCTCCTAACAGGCAGCAAGGACTTCAGTGCAGGTACCAAAGGTTTCTGTGCTGTTTTTTATGATGATTCATGGATAGAGCTCGATGGAAAGCACACATCATAAGTCTCAACGAATGCGAAGGCAATGTTTTCAAACACAACATCATCGCCGAAAACAGACGCCTTGTGCCATCCTGCTTCGCGAATCATTTTGAAAAAGGAGGAGACAGACATCTATCATGACCAAAGCAAAGAAGATACACGCCCCCATATTGCGAAGTAAGATTTCAAGAAATCATTATCTCAACCTCAGGACCATCAGAACTTATTTGTCACTCTAGAGGGAATCCGGAAGGAACAATACAAAAGACTTTTAAAATGTTAGGTTACACTAGTTTCTAGTCGAACGAGATCTTTTTGGTTTTCCGGTATGTTCCCTTTTTCCCCCCTTCATGACTCTTTCCCGACTCCACTCGCAGACCAAGAAAACAATGCAGTGAAAGATCCAAGAAAAGGCTGCCGATCCAAATCTATCCTGCTGCCTGCTTCAATAGACAACAATTGGCATCATGGGATCCTAACTTCAAATAATAATAATAATATGATATAGCTCATAGTAAAGTTGATGTTTTATATGTATGGTAATGTAATGTGTAGTGGAAACAGTCAGTCGTTTCCTAGTAACCCAAACAAGATGAACCAATCATCGTGAGTCTCGTGCTCATTCTGATTTGAAAACTGTTTTGTCAATGGGTGATAACATGTGCAGAGAGAAAGAACAGTCTTCTTGCAACTTCTTGAAGGACCTTCTTGATGCCATCGTGATGCTGGTGGCGACGGTATCTTTCTCATCGCGTTGACGTTTCCTCCGAAGGAGAGAAAAGGTGGGAATCGTTTCATCTTCTTCGTCGCTGTTGCTGCTTGCTCCATCTGGACATGTTAGTGCTGGAATATCGAGCATTGCACTTGTGGACATGCAAATCATGGCCCTGGTATCGAATTCTTGTGTCACATTCCGCATTGGTGCCAGTGCCAATGCTCGTTCAGAAAAGTAAGAATCACAAGTGGACCTGAAAGGAGTTTCAATTCCTTGTTTCGGTCTGGCGCTCAGGGTTGGCATTGGTGCTTGTGTGCTTGGGAGGTGAAGGTGATTCATGATGATAGCAAGTTGTGTCGGTATGATTATTTTTTCCCTAAAAAATTCTTTCGAATTTTTGTGCCACACCACACGTGCACCTTGGGAATCAGTAGAATTTTTTCAAAATATCAATGAAAAGGACTTCGTACTGAGCTACGGTAGAAAGACATTCGCCAGACCCTCTACTTCCCGTCCAACGATCACCAAAGACACCGACGGAAAATACGTCAGATAATATGCTAATTTTGATTGGCTGCTACTGGGTGCGTAATATTTGGTTCCTACAGCTCGATTAGCATTTTTCACTTTTTCCGTTGAAATGCTGTTTATCTGACTGGTATGTTTGGAATTCATTCTGTACTCGTACATCATTCGCCGATCGTCATTGTGACATCTGTGTGTCAGGAATATGTAGTCCTGTGACATGGGAGCGTCAGGAATATTAGTCTCTCGGCGGCTGACTCGATGTATTCAATATGTATCTTCAACCATGAAATCAAAATGGCGAAGCATGGAATATGGTGAGGGTTCTACAAAACTTTTTAGTGAGGAGAAGAAAGCTGACTATGACCATGCGAACCTTCGATACCGGTATTCAAGCTGACGATGAGATGTAGGATCGCTCGGCACTTTTTCGGGAGGAGAAGATGCGACACATGGGCGCCATCGATGTCAAGTCTCCCGCCAAATTTACATATTTGAATATATTACCACAACATGCAGCGCGAAGCATCGATGGTGACGATTCGGCACTTTTTCGTGTGGAGAAGAAAGATGATGCACATGTGAATGCGAACCTAACGACACCGGTTATTCTTCAAGCTGACGAGGTGTGGGTTCGTTCGGCATTTCTTGATGAGGAGAAGATTTCGACAGTTGGCGTCATGAAGCAATATCAAGTCTTCCGCCAAAATCGGTATTACGGTATGTCCGCAACGAAGATGACAATTCGGCACTTTTTTCCGCGAGGAGAAGAAAAATGGTGAACATGTCAATGTGAAATGCGAACCTAACGATACCGTTGTTCGACGAGCGACGAGATTTGGGTTCGTTCGCATTTTGTTGGGCGGCATCAGTTTGAGGGTTACGATTTTCTTGGATGGTGTATTTGCAAACGACGTGCCAATACGACTTCTCGCTTCTCCGAAACCAGCAAACATTTCATGCTGCGATCCATCGGCAATAAACCACCAAGCAAGATGTGATCTATCGACAACAAACCACCACCGCAAGCAAGATGTATGCAACATGATGTGAAAGGATATGGTACTCCGATTGCGCAACTAGCCTACTAGTATGCATGGTTGTACGATATGCTGTCAAATGAAGGGAAAATCCAACCGGAGCAACCAACCACTATATTGACCTTTGTTGTTTTGTGCCATTCCACTCTTCACCATGCTACTGTCTCTCTGCCTGGAAGTCTGATACACATAATGAATACGATGATTTTGAGCACTCGATGCTTCCTATTTTCTGTCTGCTAGTGCTTTCTCACTCATAGGGTCTTTTACTGGATCTTTGTACCTTGACATTATAATATTCAATAATATATAGATAACGCCGCGCTTTGATTACCGTTGTAATCATTTGGGGTCATTTGAATCAATTTATATTAAATACACGCGTACCGGCTTTCTCACTTGCGCCATATCGAACAATTCTGAAACTGCATGATGCATCAGACGTGTTCACGTTCGTTGTTTATTTTGTCACTTTTGGCAGATATATTGTTTCCGCTATACCGGTATACCACATGCATTGTTGCCAACAACACTGGTACTCGTACTCAACTCAAACTATCTAGTACACCTTTCATCTTTCTCCCAAACAAGGGGAACAACATAAGAGCATACCCTATTCAGGAGTGATTCTCCAACCTACCGCATCGAATCAATCAATCCCTACATCATCATCATCAACAGATATCATGAGCTGTGGTCAACGTTGCGGTTCCGAATTCAAACGACCCATGTTTGACATTGAAGAAAATGAGGGAAGTCTTGATATCAATGCCAGCTTTCATATTGGCAAGGGATTGCTATCCGTGGTGGGAATCATCAAGTTTATCACCTTTGCAATTGCTGTGGTTTCCTTGGTGTACTCCTTTACGGTAATCGAAATTCCATCCTTTTATCCTGCCTTTCTCACACCGTGGACAGTCTTTTTTGGGATTCTTCAGCTGGGAGGATCATGGATACTGACTGCCTTTTACTCCAAAGATGGCAGCATATACAATCCTCAGAATAAAAACGTCTTGGTCAAAATTACCTGGCTGTTGTATTCGGTGGCCGGAGTCATTGGATGCTGCATTACCATTTTATTTTGGGGGGCAGTCTACGATCCAGACAATCCCAGCAATGATATGTTCGACAAGATCATGACGCATGGGGGAGTTGTCGCTATTGTCTTGCTACAAGGCAATCTATTGGATAGGGTGCCGATGCGACTCAAACATATTGCGTTTAGTGATGGATTGGCTGTCATTTTCAGTATTTGGTTGGCACTTGTAAGTACCTATTTATGACATTATGCTATGACGGTGATAACAGTATTGTGAAATATACATGATTTGTAAGCGCTGAGCTGACCCTGCGCTTTTCCCTCTTCATGCCGTATCCCTATAGCAAAACACGGTTATTAAATACAATCCGAATATTGACGATGACGACGATGCTATCTATGATGCCATGAAGTGGAGGACAGAGACTACCTCAGCCATTATTCAGACGGTTTTGGTTATAGTTCTAGTAGTCCCACTCTTTCAAACAATTCTTTGGGCTGTTTCCCTTCCAAAAAGACGATACTTGGTTGAGGAGGTCTACGATGTCGACAAGGGAGAAGTACAAGAGAAACCTGCTGACCAAGAGGAGGGACATGTATAGGAAGTTCGGAGGGGTATATTTTTGGATATGACATTGCTAAGAGGACGGCGATATGGCCAATCCTACATTTTTATGGTACTGGACATAAAGTCAAGAGTTCTTCTATAACGATTACGACACATTTGGTTTGTGTTGCACTTTGTGTTTGTCTAGGTAACAACTGAATGCATCAAGTCACATGGTAGTAAAATATGCATCTTTCTATGATATATTTAGATTCCCTGTATCCCTATTGCTCTCTCACGACGATTAACAGCTGTAGCTGCTGGTTCCAAGTATTGCCTCTATACAGCGTTCCAACTTGTCGTGAAGGATTTCGTTCTCCTTGCGAAGACATTCCAAGTCCTTATTGCTTGAATCATAAGAGTGCTCGCTGATTTGAAGCAATGCCCCCAACTTGTCGTGCAAGACTTCATTCTCTTTGCGAAAGAATTCCATGTCGTCATCTTCTTCCATTGCTTGTAGCTTGGATGATTCGGAGGTAACAGAAGCACTGCTGCGGCTCACCCCGAGATCCATCACTGATGTTGGATCCATGGTATCTTGCAGGAGGTTCACGTGTTTCTCAAGGGAGGAAAAGCTTAGCATTGTTGATGTTTGCATCGTTGGGTGTATCTATGTATTAGCAAATTATTTGAATTGTGAGTTGAGTGTGTATACTGTCACAATATTTTATGGCAAAAAACGGCTTCGGAGAAATTCGCAGGGGCAAATAACACCAAAAAGTCGATCAGACCAGATAAAACAGCTCCTATATTTCCCCGTCTTCAACGCTATTACATAGCAGCTTTTGGCTCCTACAGAAGAAGAGTATCTGAGTCAGAGGCTGATTTGCAAAAGTTAAAAAAATTATATTGGTTCTTAACATGATGACTCTTCAATATATATCAGCTTGGCAATTAGATATTTGAAAAATAATATATGATTCTGCAAAAGGATTTTCTTCTTCAACAGTTCCATCTAGTGTAAAATATGAAGAAGCGAATGCCGCATTGGTTTTGGCATCGCGCGGAAGGGTATACCGTATCACACAGCCGGTACGGAACAAGGGTGAAGAGTTTTGGCAATGGTTCTTCTTTATCCTGTACCGTATCAAATTTGACAGTTGGGTGCGATAGCAGCGGAGCTTGCTGAACAGCATAGTACCGACATATCACACGGCCAGTTTGAACGGGTAAATCGTTTTGGCAAGCAGTTCTTCGTTTGTCCATGATGACTACATTGTATCAATAGCTGAATGAGTCGAGGAACGAGGTATTATTCCTATCTTTGAATTGTCTAGGTAACGACTGAATGATTTGAGGAAAGTGGTAGTATAGTAGGACTGTGTAATTTGTTCTATAATATATCTATGATTCCTGTATCCCTTCTGCTCTCGCACGAGTCTTATCAGCTGAAGCTGCTGGTTCGAAGCATTGCCGCTACACATCGTTCCAACTTGCCATGCAAGATTTCGTTCTCCTCGAGAAGAAATTCCAAGTCGCTGGAATCATCACTGTGGTAGCAACTGGAGTGTTTGCTAGATCGAGACAATTCCATTACACAACGGTCTAATTTGTCCTGCAGTTTTTGGTTCTCCTCTCGAAGGAATTCCAGTTCCTCGTCATAATCGTCTTCCATCGCTAGTAGCTTGGATGATTCGGGAGCAACAGGTGCACTACTGTGCCTCACCACGAGATCCATTACTGATATTGGATCCATGTATTCCTGAAGGAGGTTCTGGTGTTTCTCAGTGGAGGAAAAGTTTTGCATTGTTTTTGTTTGTGTGTTTTAGATTGAAAAAGTCAGAATTGTGAGGTGATTTTAACTCGTGCAAAAATTATTACATGTACCAAAACGGTTTCGGAGAAAGTTGCAGAATACAAAAGCACGGCAACTCGATCAGATAACTCTGCTGATTTCTCCGTATTCACGAACCCTTGCCGATGATTCGCAACGGTTAAAAATAATGTTGGTTCTCCACATGATGATTCTTGTACCAGTAGTATCGATTGGAAGCAGCTGCATGGAATAAAATGGAATGCATTATTTCCCGTGTCTCCATACTGTATAAATACGGAGGCGTGGTTTTGGCTTCCGTACCAGTACCGAAGGGAAGGTATATCACCAAACGGCCGGGAACGGCGCAAAGGAAGAGTTTTGTTTTGTATCAGATTTGACAATTGGATATTACGTACGGTAGCAGCTGAATAAATAGAGAAAGCGGTGATAGTATTAATATGAATTGCTTGTAATATATATTTTATGTATCCATATAGGTGCTGCTCTCACACGATTAAGAGCAGTAGCTACTGGAATGGTCGCTGGTTCCAAAGCTACTTGGGATATGATCGCTGGTTCGAAGAAGTGCCACTTCACAACGTTGCAACTTCCCTTGCAATATTTCATTTTCCAAACGAAGCAGTTCCACCTCATCCACGTCGTCTCGCTCATTGCTCGAGTAATTAAATTTTTTGGATGGAATGGACTTAAATCTGCTTCTTCGACCATGAGAAAGTCTATCGTTTTCTTCCAGGGCTTCTTCCAATTGAGATTCCAGTTCAACATTTTTGGATTCCGACATTTCAAGACAGAGTTCCATGGTATGGATTTGACGCTCAAACTCTCGATGTTGTTTTTCCAAGTAGGCTTGGTGCTCCTCCATTTGATCTTGAATAGCCTTTAGCTTAACAATTTCTTCTTGAATTTGTTCTTGTAGCTGAGATGACTTGGGAGTAATAGAGGCGCTGCGGCGATCCATCACTTTGGATTTACTACTGCGGTTGCGCCGAGGTGTTGTACTCTTTCTTGAGACCTGGCTCGAGTCGTCATCATCAAGGATGCATCGAGGAGTAGGAGAAGTCAGCACAATTTTGGTTTTGCTGCTGCGGTTACGCCGAGGCGTTTTACTCATTTTTGAGACCTGGCTCGAGTCGTCATCATCAAGGATGCATCGAGGAGTAGAAGTCAGCACAATTTTGGTTTTGCTGCTGCGGTTACGCCGAGGCGTTGTACTCATTTTTGAGACCTGGCTCGAGTCATCATCATCAAGGATGCATCGAGGAGGAGGAGAAGTCAGCACCATTTTGGTTTTGCTGCTGCGGTTACGCCGAGGCGTTGTACTCATTTTTGAGACCTGGCTCGAGTCATCATCATCAACGATGCAACGAGGAGGAGGAGAAGTCAGCACTCGTCTTGATGAAGCAAGACCGCCACTGCCGATGCTGCTGTTGCGACTTTTTTTCGGTGTTAGGCTCCTGCTTTTTCTCTTCATGGATCCTGCCCGTGTGGGCGCCGCGAGATCGACCATTGATCTTGCTGAATCTTCTAGGGGGCTCTCTTGGCTTTTCTCAGTGGACAAGTTTTGCATCTTTGGGTATGTGTCTTTTTGGATTGAATGAAAATCTAAAAATTGTGAGTTGATTGACGTCGTGTCTAAAGTAATACAGGACCAAACGGTTTCGGAGAATATATATAAAAAGACTAATTATTTTCCGCTTATTGCATAACACGACAACTCGTTAACCTATTTCTGCGTCGCTGACGTCTTCAACATAAACAACCTGTTGTTTTAGCACCCGAAGAAAGGTGCATGGTGTATCACGTATCACACGGCTGGTTCGGAAGGGTAAAAAAATAGTTTTACATAATAGAAAAGCTGAAGAGTTCTTCCATGATGACTGCTTTGGTTTCAGACTTGGGACCGAATAACAACCGTTCTCATTCAGACACCAATTGGCGAAGGTCGTAATGTAGGTTGGCATCATGCGGCAGGATCGGAGGGGTAGGTATTATGCGCCAATGTCTTTTTCCATGATGATACTACTGTATCAGTCTTGGCATCTAAATCTTAATGTCATTTCTAGGCAGCAATTGAACGAATCAATGAAAGTGGTGGTGTTATGGCAAAGCGGTGTTTGCATGTCAACGGGTGGTAATATTTTAGATGATCTTTTCTGTTGCTTTTTAAAATTTATATTACTTTTTTATATCCTATTGCACTCTCGCAACTACGAGCAGTAGCTACTGGTATGGTTGCTAGTTTGAAGCAATGCCATTTCACAACGTTCCAACTTACCGTGCAAGATTTCATTCTCCAAGCGGAGCAGTTCCACGTCGTTTTCCTTGCTGGAATCATCATCTTTCATTGTTGGAGTGGACACAAGCCTGCTTTTGCGACCGTAAGTAAGCCTATCGTTTTCTTCAAGCACTTCTTCCAGTCGAAACTCCAGTTCCTGGTTTTTGGATTCAGTCATTTCAAGACTGAGTTCCATGGTCTCAATTTGACGCTCAAAGTCTCGATGTTGTTTTTCCAAGAAAGCTTGGTGCCTTTCCATTTGATCTTGAATGGATTTTAGCCTGGTGATTTCTTCCTCCATGGCTTGCAGTTTGGATGCTGACTCGGGGATGGGAGAAACACTGCGGCGATTCGTCTTTTTGGATTTACTACTGCGGCTTCGCCGAGGCGAATTACTCTTCTTTGAAACTTGGCTCGAGTCATCAGTATCGCTACATCGAGGAGGAGTCAGTTGTCGTGGTTTACTGCTGCGTTTCTTTGGTGTCGTGCTCCTGCTTTGTCTCTTCTTCTTGACACGTTTCAGTTCCACGAGATCCATCACTGATCTCGAATGGAGGGCGGATCCTTGCTTTTCAGTCTTCTTGACTCCCATCCGTTTTAATCCTACGAGATCTATCGCTGATCTCGAATGGATGGGTTCTTGTAGGAGAGTCTGTTGAGTCTCATTTGTAAAGGAATGGTTTTGCATGGTTGTGTATTGCGTGTTTGTGTTTGTGTATACGAGTATGTCCCTACTGGTATGATATGTCTGTCGGAGTTGTTGTGTGCCGCATGTTGATCTGTTTTGTATCATACATCTGATTTCGGAGAATGTCGAACATTATATTCCCCGCTTATTTGAAGAAAAGTCGAACGACTCTAGTTCTCAGTTTTTGTTAACATCAATTTGATTTTTCATCCGTTTTAGTCATGGAGAACCCCCAGGGGGTTATGTTTTCACAAAGCGATCAGTTCAGAAGAGTAGTTCTATTATGCCGATTAGTTCGATGGATGTTGAATATTGAGAATATGGGTAGCGCTATTGACTGCGTGATTGTGGATCGTATGCTTATTCTCTGCTTCATTACCTGTACTGCCGGTACATTCCTCACGTTTCATCATTGGTACAGCAGGTACGATACCTGTTGCCGTGGCCCGAGGCTCACTCTAGCCAACTAGTCGAATCATATCAGTCGAATCAAGATCGTCACTCCAACTACTGTAACTGACATGAGTAATCATACAAACGCAGTCTTACCAAACGTAATTGTGCCAGAGGTCAGGTACATCTATTACCTCTGTCTACGAGTCAATATGATGACCTGACAAATGTATTCTTATCAAGGCTGCAGTGGAAATGGTGTGTATCTAGTACACGACACCTTCTATTCTGATGTCAGTATGGCTACCGCCTTCTGCCCAGGGAAATAGTTCTCTATAAAACTCATAATATCTCTTTAGCAATCTTTCTACCGCTACTGTGCCTAAGGAGGTAGATTGTTGGCAAAACGTTTGATTCTTACTCTGCTACAGTTCTTCTTCATCGTTTGATGGCTCGGTTTTGGCTTCACCTCGTTGGATTACTGCAGGTGTTGGCTAGCGAAGGACAGACTGTATGCGAAGAAGGTACAGTAGCATGACAGTGGAAAGCTTTGTACCAAAGAGGTTGTGAAATATGTTGGTAAAACAGGCGCAACTGAGTTGCAGCTCATTCATTTTGAAAGACTGACAGAGTGAAATTGAAATCTAGGAACATATAGTTATTGAGATTAGGAAAGCACACAGCTCTTCTACCTCTAACACCCATCATCATGACTATTACAGACTTCCCCGTGCGCAAAAAGAGCTACAGCTACCTCACACCCAGGCAAGCTATCCAAATCATGACTCCAAGGCGGTCCTCGATGCCTTCGATCCTGCCAAAGACCTTCAGTTGCAAGGTCTGAACAGCCTTGTCGAAAAGGGCGTTCAAGGAGGTGCCCCGGCCTGGTACACGGGAAGGCACAAGGAACAGGAGAGCAACTTTCATCTCTGGCACCGGCCGATGATTAGATACACCACGGTTGGCGAAAAAAAGGAACCCTGTTGGCCGGCAAAAGCCTTCTAAAAAACCGATCCGGCCAAAGTGTTCATGATGGAAGATATCACTGACGAAGACCCTGAGACAGCATACAACCTACTGGTCACACGCAAGCAAATGCCCATTCTCAAGGAGTTCTTGGATATCACTTGGGACAGATCTTTGGCACGCGAAGTTTTGCGACAGCGAGGAGCCCGAAATCTTTTTTAAAGCGCAGGAAAAGTTCTGGCACTTTGTGGACCATTGGCGCGTGACAAACACGGCCATTGGTAGTGATCAGCTTTTGGAGAACATACTGTTTTCACTGCGACATCAAGCAGACGTTGGGTTTCTGGAGCAATCAGCTCGGAGACTTGGAGGACTCAATTGGAGATTCCCCAGACAAGACTTACCAACTACTCACCAAGACCATGGCAGCCGTTGAAGAGAGTGACAAGACAACCAAGACCTCTGTGGAATCACTTTTGGAGGTAGTGGTAGCAGGCATCCATGGCCAAGCATCGGACAAGGCGCCGCCAAATACAGTGGAAAGGAAGTGGCCCACAAGGCTCTCCTATCTGAAGAGAGTTGCTGGTACTACAACCTCAGCTCAACTCCCCACCCTCTGGCACGAGCTAGGAATTCAGCCGGAGTACTTAAGAGCTTGGTGGAATTGGAATTTTGTTTGCGCGGCGACGTCAAAAAGGGTTTGAACGTGATTAATAGTGTCTGTTTCCAGCACTACAAAAATGCAAACGCTATCAACGATTACAACAAGAGCGATTATTGGTTGACGGGCGAAAATACCACCGCTTTCATGAAGGATCATCAAGCCCATGACAAGATCAAGCACGCTATATTCTTGAAGACTCCCATGCAGTTCCGTGAGATGGTCACAGGTATGCGGGTATTCTACCGTGTAGTGTTCACAGTGACTCATCCACTGACAGGAGTGTCCCAGCAAGATCGAGCTCTTGAAAGATTCCTTTGGAATCTATTCCCCCATCGATTGTTACTTTGAGCGCTTGGTAAGATCCAGTACGGGCGCCTAAGAAAACCTACCCGACTTGGGCACCTAAATGGAGACATGCTACCAAGGAGGAAGCCTACCAGAGTCCGACTTGTTTGTTGTAGCAAAGGACTCTGGAGGAACCGGTGGAACAGGAGAAAAGACCAACAGTCAGCTGAAGAGAGAGAAGGAAAAGGCCCAGAAGTAGAGCCTGGGAGAATCAGTCAAAATCTTGACGTGAACGAAGACCATCGCTACACCGGAAGAACTACTACCAAGTTGATCAAACGGACAGGCGAAAAGCCTCCCAAGCATGCCAACGGAAAGGAACTGTGCCTCATTTGACACACCAAGGGCGAATGCAATGAGAACTATGAATGTAAGCATTCCCATTGTAAGCTGACTGATGAGGAAGCAACTGCGATGAAAAATTGTGTAAATAAGAATAAGTGAGATGGAGGCCAGGAATCATCGGATTCTTGCAGGCCATCTCAATCAGACCCACTTTTGCTACAATCTACTTTAATTGGAGGTAGTGCTAATACTATAGGTGAGCTGGTTGCGTTGGCTAATGAAACTTATTTAAAACACGATTGGCAAGTCACTCATTTATTCCGTTCAGATGATGCTGCACCAGACATTGATAAGCTTCTGCACCCTGCCGCACCTATGCTATACCAAGTAATGAAGAATGGGGCTCCTATGGTGGGAATGAGTCATGGAGCCAGAGCCAACTCGACATGCGAGCAGCTTGGGGCTGTCACTCATCAGCAAACGAATTCAAAGAGTTTCTGATGGAGGAGTTTTTTGGACTTCTTATCAAAGGCGAGAAGGGACTTTGCCCTTCTCCAATTGGCTGCGTTCCACAAGATAACAGAAGACCTCAGATTGTCAGAAATATGAGAATGCAACTAGCTTTGGGTGCCTCAACGCCCCTAGTTCTTGCTTCTCTCCTGAAATAGGATCTTTGGCGGCTAGGTAGTTAGCTCCTGTGTCGATAACGTCTATTGAACACTTCTTTCAATATGAAACAGTCTTTCTTATTTTATTGTATCCAGTTTGGATTTTGTTTGGATTGTGAGCCCAATGGTATTGCCTCCAGATCTGTGAAAGAACACAGATCCCAATAGGATTTGCTTTGCTCTTTCCCTAGACCTCCGTATCGATTCAACACAGAGTGTTGAAAGGGATGAAAAGGACCTGCTTTCAGTTCCATAATATCAAAAATAAAGCTTTCCAAACTTTCCAGACCCGTACTTCTGAACCGTCCAATCGTACAGTCCTATTAGTCATTCGGGAACCTGTATTCCACAATCGATCACGGATCAGATCCAGGGAATATATTAGTCCAAATAGATCTCCATTTCTCCAATAATGAAAATTCGAGTACCGCCAACACAGATGATTGTTGATTATGCCTTCTGAGGACTCAACCACAACACAATGAAACTCCCCCCAGAGGGAGCTAGGCAATTCCGCACGGCCCCACTACACATCTGCGAGGCACTCCTGAAGGCACAGTTGGTCGGGTTGGACAGACAGTCCTCCATGGTCCTGTGCCTTGACAAACCTTGACTTGCAAAAAAAGAAGCGAGTGACACCACATCCCAAGCGGCCATCACTGATTTTGAAGTGAAGGACGAGCAAGCTGTGAGACAAATTCCAAACTCACACCAGCCATTGACTTACCAGCGCCCATTGAAAAAGATGGAAGTGTTCGTCGATGATTTTGTTGGAATGGGTCAAGACCATCCAAGCAACCCATTGAAAAATCAGCGAGCCGTCCTCAGTCACAACATTGGCAAGGTCTTCCGTCCTAATTGATCCACGGAAAACCAATGGCGAAAGGGGCCTCAGTCACAGTCAAAAAAGGCCAAGGGGGATGCCTCCTGGCACACAGTCAAAGAAGCCTTGGGTTGGAACTGGGGAGCAACAACAAAGACACTGCAATTGAAGGAGAAAAGAGTGAACAAGGCCCAAACACTCCTTGGCAAGGTCTTGGTTTGCAAAATAGTGTCCCTGAAACAATGGCAACACATGTTACGAGTTTTACAAAGTCTGCAACCAGGAATGTTGGGCAGTGAGGGACATTTTTCCTTGTTGCAAGATGCTTGTGATGCAGCAAAATCAGGAAGAGGAAGAGCGTAGTTTACAGATGATGAAGAGGCCTTCATTTGACGCAAATCATATACAGAGGACGTGAGAAAGGAGGTTATTTCAGATCAAAATCTGACAGGAAAACTTACCAACTCAGATCTGGAACTGGAAGGCACCGTCCTCCATCACTTTGTCCTTGAAAAAACCGCACAGGTGGAAGGCGAGACCACTGATACTGGCTGTGACAACACTCCAGCAGTCTCATGGCGTACAGGATTGCAACGGGAACAAAGAGCACATCAGCGGATCCAGCAGCACAATGAGTTTGCCCATTGCCAAAAGCCTTACTACAACAAGCGTCCAAGCTTGCCACAAGACCTACCAGCACCAATGCCGCAAAGGCAATGAATTGATTGATGTGGCTGGGTTTTTCTTTCTGTTATGTCCTGGCAAATATTTGTCAAAAGCAGGAACGCAATTTCCCTTCAAGTTGAAACAAGTGCTGTTTTGTGTCAGAGGCACAGAATTTTGTGGCAACGTGATTCCACTTTGCCTCCTGGACACGACACTTGTGACATAAAGGATCGGTTTGGGCCCGTCATTTAATGGTGACAACCCAACAGCAATGCTGATTGCAATCGTCCAACACCTTCAACAAAGTCAACTCACAACTCACAACTGGTGAAACCGCACTGTTCACCTACTACTCCAAGTTTGGAGTCGCTTGCAATCTCACAGATCCAATGATGACAAAATATTTGAGAGCTGTTGCCCTATCTGTGGAGGTTGATCGACCCCCAACAATCGGTGCTCTTCTATGCACTGGGGCTACCCCACTTCTCGAAGGCAATATCCCAACTAGTCTCATCAAACTGCTTGGTCCATGGCGCTCAGATGAAGTTTCCGGTATCTTCACACCCAGTCCGAGCCTTTGATGCAACGCTTGACCAATGTCCTGGATGATCAAGTCGAACACTAGCGTTTTCCCACACACCACACCCTAACCAGTGCTTGCGCTGGGGGATTTGGGGCCAATATCTAGTAACAACTGTCAGCCCAAAAACGTCATTGAAACTTTTAGGCCCAATTAGAGTCTGCAAAATCCAAAGCGATTGAGAAGGATGAGCAATCGCAAGAAAAACGCATCATAATTGCCAACTGCCATTGGCAGCTTTCATCATCAATCTATTCTTTGTCTCCTGTTCTCAGTTTCATTTGTTGTTAGCTATGAGGAAGCTTGTGAAAATAAGTAGCTACTGTATAGTGTTGAGTGATGCTGTTAACAATTTTGTAGTGTCATCCATCATCTTGTATATCCGGGGTACTTTGGGGCATCTGATCATGGGCCTAGCGACTGATTCGGTCGCTCCACCAAATAGTTTCACGTGCAAGGTCATAGCACCAATTTTTTGTCAAAATCAAATGGGCCTTGTGTTGGAACCACACTGTTGGTTGCCCGTCGTTTGGTGGGTTTTGTGGGCAGGCAGAGATGACCACCAAGTCTTGCTGGTCAACGCCTTGTGTTTGGCCCTGAAGTCGGATCCAAGCCCATCCTGACTCAGTGAGAGACTTTGTTGAAGGCAGATGTCGAACAGCCCCCAAATTGGGTGGTAGAATGGGCTGTCCGTGGTTGATGGGTGCCATGGTGCTGGCTCTTTCTTGCCATCGTTTGGTTGGTGTGACTGCTGGCCAAAATTTGTTCAATTTGGCCAGTAGTAAAAAGTCCACACATTCGCTTTGAATCCAGTGGTTCAGTTGTGCTTGTTTAGGGTCGTTGGACTCTCATCAGGAATTGGAAAGTTGAGCCAAACCCTGTGCACGAGCAAGAACCATCTCCTGGAAGGAAGGAACTTAAAAGGGAATCAAGAGAGGTGTGTGGAGCCGCCCCTGACCGGTTGCTGGCAATCTTTTGTTTATCATGGACAAGTCATGGGGGTATTATTGGTGTCCATAGGAGAGGACGCATTGGGTTGGTCCTCCCCATCTTCTCCGTCTGGTTTGTGAGCGGTCACTGGTGGTCCAAGGGACTGAGTAGTTTAGTAGTGCTGACAAGTGTCTGGTCCCGTGGGCCCATAGGGACATCCACTGTGAGCATGGGAACAGGCCTGAAAAAATTTAGACAACTCTACCATAGCAGCAGCTGCCTCTTGGTCGGCCTTCATTGCGTCCAATCCCTGTTCAAACTGTCTTTCTTGTCAGTGATGGTCTTGATGCCCTGAAGAGCGGTCTGGAGTTGAGCCTAGCCCTTGTTCCTGTCATCAAGGTACACAATCACAGAAAGGCCATCGTCCACGTCTCGAACATGTTTGGCGTTGATGTCAACGGGAAGAGTGCCCTCAAGAATTCCACAGGGTCTTCCATGCAGAGAAGAAGGAAGTCAATGGGATCATGGACTTGATGACCTTGGTGGTCTGTAGGATCTTCAATACCAACGGAACCCATTCAACATGAATCTTGCAATTCTGGTAGGCAAGGTCGGTAGCTGACCAGTTCTTGATGACTAGGATGAAGTTGGGGAATGACAACTCGCCAAGGTGAAACCGGAGAAAGGATTGTCTGTCAAGTGTGCCTTTAAATGAAAAATTTCTGATTAACCGTTTCCTGGTCAGACAATACAAATCAATACATTTCGTAGACCTGGTACAAACTCTACGTAGTCAAATTAGTCAATCTGATATATAAATAGCCAGGTCCAGATCTGCTGTATAGAGGCATTGTCGATAACAGGACAAGGGCCCACAATTGAATGCAATAGATTTGAAAACACTTTCCTATGTGTGAATAATTGGTTGGACCACTTCCTGATAATTGATGCTGTGTTTCCCATCCCTGTAGCAAATGTACTGGGTCTACGTGCGAGAAACTAAAAAAGCTCTATGTTTGAACGTCAAAATAGGAAAGTGGCTTCCAACAACACTCTCCTTACATACACTTATTGGATATCTTCTTTGATATAAACGACTTCCAACTACGTGTTTAGTTCTTTGGTGGCCAAATTTGGCGAGTAGTATTTGGAGATTGTAGGTACTATTTTGGAGCAGTCGGTGTAGTCGATTTCACGTACATTTTTTACTGGATCTACGAATGTATTGATTTGTATTGTCTGACCAGGAAACGGTTAAAAATTTAGAAAATGTCCCTGTTGGTTCTCATCTATTTTTATGAACGACAAGATGTTCTCGTATATGCGAGAAATGTCTTCTCCGTTTAGAAGTCGATCATCTCGCGAGAAGGAACCACAATGAATTCTAAAGTCATCGATCTGCCGGATTGCAAGCGGATCTGCAATAGACTCGGATTTAAAGATACCACAATGCGTGAGGTCGTAAATGCAACGCGCTTTTGAGCGTTGGCTCCCAGTGTGTTCATGATGCAATGTTAATCAAGTGCCAGAAGATACTTATTGAAACTTGTGAACACTTTATCAACTAGAAATCATGAACTGAGCAGTCGGCAGTGGTGCAGTTAAATAAAAGGGAAAATAGAAATCATGAACGTGAACGTCAGAGAACACACTAAACTTCTACATTAGATGCGAAACTTTTGATGGAGAAAATTGATCAAATCTCGAAGATGTCAAACTTTACCACTAAAAGTCCACTCTTTACTACTACAAGCGACGATTCGATGTTTTTGAGTGATTCAAGCTTCTTGACTATCTCGTCGTTTGACAGCCCCTTTGAAGATCCAGGGATGGAACCGCTTCCTATTGCACCGCATGCGCTTCCTCGTCGGCTTTCTATAGTCTCATCTTCTCAAACTCTTCCTTCTAGACGCACCTCCTCACAACCTCCTTCTAACAGCCTATTGAGTCTATTAGGATATTCGCTGCATCGAGGTATCGAAAGTGAAGGTGCCTCACTCCTCACAGCAACAGAATCAGAATTTGACAGAATGATGGCGGCTAAAACAAGAAAGCACACTAACTTGAACAAGAGGGGATTTGCCTCAACAAGAGACACAGAGAAAAAGAGACCCAAGAAGCGAATGAAAGAGAGCGAAGGAGCTGAATTGAATCTGAGACCGTACCAAGAGACTCAGTGGCACGAGCAGTACCATGCCTTGTGTGACTTTTGCCAACAAGATGGCCACTGCAACGTCTCTGACGTGTGTAGCGATGACATCGTCTTGGTACGATGGGCCAAACGCCAACGTTATCAATACAAACTGTTGCAACAAGGTATGTCCTCGACCATGACGACCGGCCGCATACGGAAGCTAGAGGCGATTGGTTTTGTGTGGGATATCCATGCAGCGCTGTGGGAGGAGCGTCTTGCAGAGCTAACGGAATTTCGAAAGCAGTGGGGCCATTGCATTGTGCCATCGATCTACAAAGGAAGTCCAGTATTGGCGACATGGGTCAAGTGCCAAAGACGCCAATATAAAAACAAACTTCTCGGAAGGAAATCCAATATTACTGATGAGCGAATAGCCGCACTGGAAAGGTTGGGTTTTGCCTGGGGAGTCCGTGGTGGTGCATGGTGATAGTACCTGGTTATAGCCTAGCTATACTGCATATTTTTAGTACATGTTTGATACGCCATACATTTCAAACTTGCTTTTGTACCAGTCTGGAAACGTACTATGAAGTAGCAGTGCGGTGATGGTGGTGGTATAATGTGTCTAGAAGAGTGTTGGAAGTCGTACAGACGACTCCCCTGAGTCAGATAGTAACAAGTCTAAACCGTCATACATCAACCGTGAGAGTATGGAGAACCAGTCATGGGCGAAAGATGAACAATTGAATTACAGTAGTTAAAACTGTGTAGGGAGTTTTTGGGATGACCGAAAGCGTGAGATTTGCTTTGGTCATTCGAAAACTCGTATCCAAACTAAAGAAAGTTTTTAAGGTTCATAGTATTAGGACTACGACATTACGCCAAACAACTGAAGACTAAGTGTCTCAGAGTATAGTAGGGTCTTTTATTATCTAACATAAGAGTTTTCGAAAATATATATACATTTTCTCATATCTGAACAACAGTCGCTACATTTCAACGGTACATGACCAAAAAGAGCAAGGAAGAGCTTGTTCAAGACTTGAAAGAAATAGAGTCAAAGGTCCAGAAGTTGATAATAGTCCTTGGAAAGGAGAGGAGCGACGAAAGCAAAACGAACGAACGGGAACCAAAGAAGACATTTCCCAAAGCAGTGATAAAGTATTGATAAAGAAGCCTAAGAAAGTGCAGGAAACGATTGGAATAATCGAATTGTTTGGAAAGAAGTTTGTCACGGTTAAAACGGCAACACAAACAATCAAGAGAATCCCACAGGACTTGAAAAAAGTGGGAAGTTGAAGAAGAGGAAGAAAGATGTGGAATCGCCATGAGCTCTATGGGATACAGATTGACTGCGGTCAAGGGGCTCAAACACTTGAAGGCGCCCAAGGAAGATGGAACAGAGCAAGACCTCGAGGACTTCTTCACGGGCCTGACTGACAAAGCAATCATCATGTGGGCGGACGGAGATGATGTGGGCTACATTCTGGAAGAAAACACAAAGCCTGAGATAAAGGAGCTTGATCCACTAACGGCTGCAGAAGAGGCCGACGCCAGAAAGGTCAAAACGTACGATCGGTTGATGGATAAGTACGAAGATCAGAAGGACGCCTTTCGGAATAACACAATTGCTATGTTTCAGCTAATCATGAGCGATGTGACTAGGAACTGCCTAAAAATTATCTGAAGAAGCAGAACGGAACCCCAAGACGTTCCTGGAGTTTTAAAACTTCTAGAAATTGGAAGCCCAACAATGTCGCCCGACGCGGTCACTGCAATAACAGTGATGGCGCAAGACAGACCTCAGCAAGAACAGGAGCGAATATTAGGAACCCTTTGGTTTCTTTTGCACAGACAGCTGGTGAAACGGATCAAGTTTGTTGCTTTCAACTCGTTCTACGCTACCATCACCTGTTGCCTGTGCAAGCACAAGGGGCACTACCAGAGCCATTGCCCGCAGCCAAGGACGGTAACGGGAGCAAAGTTGGAAGCTACTGTCAGTGAGGTAAGCACTACAGATGTGGTATTCTTATGAATCAGCATCCAGATACTTACATTAATCCGAACTGGATTCTCCTTGATAGTGAGTCCACTGATCATATTTTCAGTAACCTGAGCTATTTGACTGGAGAAAAGGCAACTACTGATGGAGAAATATTGAGACTACACACTTCCGGTGGAACTCTCAATACTGATCATTTTGGGGGATTTACCGTGTGGAACAACCTGAGATGCTTGGCTAATTTTCTGTCTCTGGCTCTAGTTGCCAAACCATTTTGTGTGACTCTGGACACTGAGACTGAAAATGCTTTTAGCATACAGATTTCCAGCTGCATTGCTCCTGGTCTATACATCTATGATGTTACTTCAGTAGATATGTCTAAGCTTAACGTAGCTTTCAACTTTTTACAAACTGTAGCAGACAACAAAGCATCTTTTGCAAATAGGGATATTTGTAAGGCCGATGAGGCAGTATTGCTCGATCGGAGGACCAATCACATGGCAGAAGACAAATTTGTACGCGTTGTCGCAAGAACAATTGGATTCGAAATTGTCCCGTCACCGTAGGAGGTGAGCAGAGGTCCCACATAATCTATGGACAAACAATACCACCAGTTAAGGGACGGACTTGACACCAGTCATCAGCAAGAGTCAGGGAACCCGATATTGTCCAGATCCAAAAGAGCATGTATGAAGATCTCAAAAACGTTACGCTTTGCGTTGATTTTTACTATGAAAAAGGTGTCACTGTTTTTCATTCCATCGCTCAATGGACGAGTGACAACGGCAAAGCCTGTCACTGACAATGTGGTCAAGAGAGTCAAAGAACTGTGTCTTGAACAAAAGCAGCCGTATCGCGAATCAAAGATGCTGAAATACAAATGGAGACCGGGTCAACCAATCTCCGCGGACGACATTGTTCTGCCTGCTAGAACCGCGCAGGATCCTCTATCCTTGCCTGAACCAATTGTCGTCAATCTGCCAAATGCAGGCCTCAATCCTTTTTGTACCCATTGGTGTGGATGATCTGTGAGGAGCGGATGAAATTGAGACAGAACTACCAGAAAATCAAGAAGAACAAGGAGCGGAAACTCAAGGAGCGCAAATTGAAATCAAAGATGTCGATTTTTGCAGAAGTGGATGTGTCTAACGATGAAACGGAAGATGAAGCTGATGCCAACGATTTGGGAGGTGCCAAAAAATACTTGACAACAGCCAACGAGACAGAGGACAGGGACCAGACAGTACTAGTGGCAGCTAGTGATCCGGAGGAAAAAGAATGACGAGGAGGCCATCTCAACACCAACAAAGGAGAAGACTTTGGAAGAGGAAAGAGAAAAGGAAACCTGCTGAAAAGTATTCGGCATTGCAAACAACAGAGGTCAAAAAGTCACTGGTAAGACCAAGGGAAAACCTGTTGGAGCAATATACCACCAGACTTGCGTTTGCCCAAATGTCTGCCAAGCAGGGCATCAAGAAGTACTACAAAGAAGCGGAACTGAAGCTAATTGCCGAGTTCGCTCAGGTACTGGAATTCCAAGTTTTCCACCAAGTTAAAGCAGACGGACCCTATGGCATTTCCTTGGAAGAAAAGAGAGGATCCGGACAGGAGCGTTTTCAACGGTAGAGTACCGCAGGGAATCTGCACCAAGGATGAGACAGCTTCTCCTACTGTGGATCAGTACTCACTTTTTGTCACCTGCATCGTCAACACAATCGAGGGAAGGTTTAAGGCCACCAGCAACATGAGAGGAGCATATTTTGGGACCCAAAGTTGATATTTTCTGTGGACTTAATCCCAGTCTCAAGAAATTGTCAGAAAGTGCTGTATGTACAACTGGACAGAGCATTATATGGGTGTGTAAAAAGCTCATTTTTTTGTTATGAACTTTACTAGGAAACTCTCATGGATATGGGTTTCAAGCTTAATTCATACGATCTGTGCGTCGCCAACTGTGACATTGATAGAAAACAAGAATGCATGATTTGCCGGTACCTAGACAATGATAAGATCAGTCATGTGAAATTGGAAGTCATACAGGATATCATTGGGACAATCAAAGTCAAGTCCAGAAAGATGACGAGCAAGTATGGCGAAGAGCATGCGTTTTTGGGAATGAAGATTACACTCAAAGACGGCAAAGTTGAGATCAGCATGAAGAAACATATTTAAAAAGCGATCAATATGTTCATGGACGACATCAATAGAGAGGCAACTTTGCCTGCCAAAGCTTGTCTTTTGGACATGAGAGAAGCGGCAAAAGATTTGAACGAAGAAAGAGCTGACAATTTCCACAGTGTGACACTGTCACGGTTGTACCCCTCTCAAGAAGATTCTGTCTAGACATTGTGCCCTATAGTTGGCTGTCCAGACAAAGATGATTGGGTCAAACTCAAGAGAGTCTTGCAGTATTTGAAAGGTTCGATAGACTTGACAAGAATCATTGGTGGAGACAACATCAGAAGAATGCATGCATGGTTGGATGTTTCGTATGGAATCCATGACGACTGCAAAAGTCACACTGGAGGATACATCTCCTTTGGCTGGGGCGTAATTTGTAAGAAGCAGGGGCTTAATGTGAAGAGCTCAACTAAAGGAGAAGTAGTGGGCATGAGCAATTTCTTGCCGAACATGATTTGGGTGAGAATGTTTTTGGAACGACAAGGTTTTGAGCTAGAAAAGAACATGCTGTACCAGGACAATCAGAGCGCTAAGAAGATCCTTTTGAACGGTAAGAAGTCCGCCGGAAAAAAGTCCAAACACATCGACAATCGTTTTTATTTTATTAGGGATCGATTGTTGTCCAAGGGAATCGATGTGGTGTACTGTCCGATCACAAAAATGCTGGCGGATTTTTTCATCAAGCCTGTTTGCAAGGTAGTTTGTTTCGAAAGTTTCGCGATGTGGTTTTGGGATACAAGCACATGGAGAACCAGTCATGGGTAGATGTTGTTCGAAAGATGAACAATTGAATTACAGTATAGTTAAAACTGTGTAGGGAGTTTTTTGGATGACCGAAAGCGTGAGATTTGCTTTGGTCATTCAAAAACTCTTGTCCAAACTAAAGCAAGTTTTTTGACGACTTTTTAAAATTTCATAGTATTAGGACTACGTTATGCCGAACAACTAAAGACTAAGTGTCTCAGAGTATAGTAGGGTCTTTTATTATCTAAGAGAATTCATCCAGAACTTGATCCATGGCTTTGAAAGTATCATCAGTATACCTTGAATGACTTCAAACATGAAAGCAGCGCAAATCGAGTGAATAATTCGCCGCTTGCTGTGGCTGTCATCTCACGTGCTTGCTGGATGATGATGGTCCTCGTCGATGGTTTCGAAAGTACTTGGATACTCGTTCTCTTGCACTTTCCTTGGGTACTTCCAACCATCTACCTTCTTCCGATGCCGGCTGTAGGAACCGACCACCCTGATCGGTAATGATTTGCATTACCGTCTCCACAAGTCTAATTTTCACACCACGATTCAACGCCTCGTATTCTTCAAAATGATCCTTGATGAGTCGGTGGAGTAGCTCGCTGCCTGGGTTTCGTTGTATAACTCTACCAAAAATAACATCGTTGGGACGAGGCTCGCCTTGTATCAAAACACAGTTGTTTGTAGGGTTGGTACCGACCCCTTTTTGTCGGGAAAAATGACTTTGGCGTCGACGATTGCGAAAGGCTTGCATCACTTTCCGCCGAACGTCATCATAGGGTACTTCCTTCCAAGGTACTTTTGATTGCGTACCTTGTTTCTGTAGAAATCGTCCTCCGATTCGATGAGTTTCATCAATTATTGTGCTGACGATTTGTCTCTTTTGTTCATCATTCCCAGAGGAATCATACTCTTGAGAATGTTCGTGAACGAGCACATAGAAACGTTTGTTTCCTTCATGATTCTTATTTTTGCCACCGGTAAAGATTACATCCTTTTGGTGTGGCGTAATTATGCTGGATTCCAGGGCTTCTGGTGCCGAAACGGAACGTCCAAATTTATCTTCCATGGCGCAACAATGAACCCAGTGCAAGTGTTGGTCCAACAGAAGACTTCCATTGGCATCTAATGGCAGAGTCTGTGGCATGATTCCATAGGTCGATAGCTGATATTGGCACTCGGTCTGAGAGCCAAAGTGTATTCGCAATCGTGCTCTCAATTTGCTTTGCATAACCTAAAATGACGAATGAATGCAATGATGAAAATGATTGAGTAATCATCCCGATAGAAATTGTCGACAATTCGAAATCATAACGTACCTTGACCACGACATTGGTCAGTACAAACTGTCGCATCTCGTCCACACAAAAATGAATGGCTGCCTTTTTCTGTGGAAGTGCTTGTGCCGCCGTGAAATTCTCAAAGTACCCCTTTCCATTGGTTTTGGAACGGAAGTCACCATTAGTGTACCACACGGAAATGTTTCCTCGAATCTGTGTCTCTTCAGACTGCTGCATGGCTCTCATCATGACAAAATATAATACACGTGTCACGCACTTCGGGCGTTTGGACGATTCGATCATACTTCCAAAGAACACAAAGATTTGCCTCCCTGATCTATCTCTTCCAGCGACTTGTACCCACCCAGCCTTAAGGCATTCAATGTCATGCTCATCGAGATCATCCATGGTGATGTCTTTTACCAATTTCTCAATTCCAAACAGCTGATGCTTCAATTCAAAGAATCGTATCATTTGTTCGGCCGAAGCCTTGGCATCGTATTCCTTGGCCCTCAGAAACATGATTCGAAACGCCCTGGAACTGACATACTGGGGCGACATGCTTTCGGCCATTTCGTAGATGTTGCCACGTTTGATACCAGCCAAATGTCCATCAAGTTGCACAAGGCAAGTGTCCAACAAGCTGGCATCTTCCACAATTTCATTCGCCACACCATGAATCACTTCCTGAGTCTCTTCCCGTTCTTTAAAGGTGAGTCCACTCATGGCTTGTGACAGTAAATCATCAATTTCTTTTTTCTTTTGCTGATCTTCTTTTTCGAGTAATAAAGCTTCATCATCGTGTGGTAGGACGAGTCGTTTCGGATGCGTTGGTGAGGCTGTGACGGTGATTCTTGAGGCATTGTCATCACTAGGATGGTAAAGTCCAAAACAGTTGGATGATTGCTGACCGAATGACTGATCAAAGATGCTCATCTTTGCAAGTATATATATGATTGCCACTAAAGTATATTGTCGGATGCGTTATTCTTTTATTGTGTTGCTTTTTGTAACCGCTACAATGCTCAAGAGCCTGGGCAATAAAGAGAGCTTTATATGTATGTTGGAATATTGAGCTCTCAGTAGACGTACTGACGCACAGACGCCTTCACTACTCCGCTAGCTGGGACTCCAGTCACGACTGGAGATCGATGCTCTAGCTCTCTTCGAATTTCACTAGCTTTCTTAGAAATTCGATGCAGCAACTCTTTCCAAGTATTATCAAGTAGTGATAACCTCACAATTTATTAATTCGATTATTTATCAACCAACTTTGTATAAACTACCTTTATCGACTCAAAGCCCAATCTAGAGGCCTTGCTCCTGTGGAGCTGTCTCAGGATTTTAACACATGTACTTGTGCCAAGGATGCGGTCCCTCTCTCTTGCGTGATGCTTCTTTTTATTTTGCAGTGTAAAATAAATCCGGGACTTATAGGGTCCCGTAACAATTTTAACAGAATTGTTCTGCGGTAAAGTAACGGGAACTGCTCTCTGGCACAAAATTGTCATTCACCCGAAAGGAGCGCAACAGAATTTGAATTTGTCGCGACTCAAATCAGAATTTTGATTTGTCGCGACTCAGATCCAATGAGATCGAACGAATCATCATATCAATCGAACCAGAGTATATGACGTGCACGCGTACACGTACTAGGGTGATGCATGTGTTTTAACTATCAGACTATACGGATCCTTTGGTTGATACCTACCACTATACGTACTATTCCACACACAATAGCAGCAGGAACAGCAGCAGCAGCAGCAGCAGGAACAGCAGCAGCAGCAGCATCAAACAATGAAATGTTGCCAGCGGTTTTGCTTCGAATTCCGACGCCCCATGTTTGAGTTGGACGAGCAACATCCGCGGGGTGTCTTGACTCTTGATCTGCGAGCAAGCTTTCACATGGGACAAGGGCTCAACTCGGGGGTGGGGATGCTCAAGTTGCTATCATTGGCACTCGTGGTGGCGGCCTTAGTGTATGCGTTCCTTCAGTTTCCAGTCACGGCGTGGTTTCCTGCCTATCTGACACCCTGGGGTGTGTTTTTCTGCACCTGGTATTTGGCGGCCTCCCTCTTCCTTACGACCTGCAATTATGCAAATCCAGAGAATACCAATCACTTTGAATCAGCAAGCGTGCTAACGAAATTTGCTTGGGTCATGTTTTCCGTGGCATCCGTTGTGGAGTGTTGCATTGTGGTGGTCTATTGGGCATTTGAGTACGATCCTTCGAGGCATTCCTTGAATCTCAACAATTTGAACATGCACGGGATTTGCATGCTCATTGTCTTATTGCAAGGATTTGTAGTGGATCGGGTTCCAGTACGAATCAAACACATGATCTTTACCTTTTTTATTGGTTGTCTCATGTGTGGTTGGTTGGCCATTCAAAATGTAGCTTTGAAGTATAATCCAATGCAAGACGACGATGACGATGCATTGTATGATGTCATGAAGTGGAGAGAAAATCCAACGGGGGCTGCAATTTTGTCCGTGGCGATTTTGTTTGGTGCCATTCCATTGTTCACGAGTCTGCTCTGGCTGATTTCTCTTCCCAAACGGCGGTATTTGGAAATTCTGGATGGGGCCGAAGGGGTTGTGGACTACTACAAGGTAATGAAACGAGCGGAACGAGGAGAAGTCGTTGATTGCTGAGGAATGCATGGTATGGATGATGGATGGATTTTCATTTATGAATACTATCACTGAATATATTCAATATCATCATTTGGGGAAGGACTGGAGGTCCAGACGGATGTGAGATGCTGTGTTGTGATACGATGATATGATGATATGATTCATTTATTCAGACACAAAATAAGATTCGCAAGTACCTTGCTATTTATATGAGGAACGAATCAGCATCTACACCGGTATCATCAAAGAAACCAGATTTACTTCTGATGCCTATTGTTTTGCAACCTAATAATACAATACATTGGTACGTCGCGAACCTATATGCCCAATGCATTACTGCGGCAACGCCCTTAAGCTGCATATATTTCATACATTAGGGTTTTTTTGTGTCCGATCGGTTAGATTCAAAAGGGATCCGTCTAGGAGGTATCGACGTAACCAAAACTTTATCATCGTTCATTATGCACACGCACACGCACAAAAAAGAATCGGTAATAAAACTCTCTCTTCACAAGAAGTCTTCACTATTTCATTCAATTGCTAAACTACACACTACACACATACAACAGACTTTTTCCGTATATATCCCCTATATACAAGCCTCACATATCATATCATGGCGAGCGTCGTCATCATACTCCCACGACTTGGTCAGTCGTTTCCGCAACACTACTATCACCGGCATCAGCCTCGTCGGCCATAGCTGCCGCAGCTTGTTCTAGAAAAGAGAGATCGTCGGTGTTGACTCTCATCATTAACGATTCCGCCCTTGCTGGTGGTGGCGGCGGCGGTGGAGGAGGAAGTGGGGCTCCTGCTGTTCCATTGGTTGAAATCCCAATTTCAGAAGGAATGTCTCGCATTGGCTTGTCTTCTTCCCACAAACCATCGTGACGAACAGATCCATCGGGTCTGGTCTCTTTGCCCAGTCCATGAGCCTTGCCACTCTTCCATTCTCCACTGTAAATACGTTGGTCCGCCCATTTGCATTCTCCTTGGCCGTGCATTTGGGACTTTTTCCAAGTCCCTTCGTATACACTGCCATCTGGAAACTTATAATTGCCATAACCATGTCGGTGACCCTTGTAAAAGTCTCCCACATAACAGGACTTGTCCGGCCAACGGAATTCTCCCTTGCCATGCCGTTGGTCTTGATGAAAATCACCGACGTAGGATCGACCATCCTTCCACTGATATTTGCCAGGACCATGTCGTTGGTCCATCTTATAGTGGCCTTTGAAATGGTCGCCATTTTGAAAGGTTGCCTTGGCGGGACCATCCCAATGACCATGTCTCCAGCCACCTTGATAGGTGCGGCCATCCAAATAGATCATGTCGCCTATGCCATGAGGAATGTTATTGGTGTCCACATCCCCTTCGTATTGGCCTTGATCGCCGTCTAAAGTGATAAAAAATGAATAGAAGAAGGAGGATAGAAGGAGGATACGTTAGCTTTAGTTGTTGAATTGTCAACAGCACCAACATCACCAGTATCATTATCACCAGCATCACCGATGTAATGTGAGCGCATTGTATTGAACTTACAGGGATCCGTGACCCAAATACGACCAGCCAAAAGAGTTTGATCTGCTGGCGGTGATTTTTGTGGGATTGCTGTTGTCCTCTTGGTAGATGAAGTAGTGGATGCGGTAGTGATCGTGGAGGCCACAGACGTGCCAGACGGCGCTGAAGGTTGCTGCTGTACCAAAGATCCCAACATGGCATCGAGTCGATTCCGAAGAGAATGAATCTTCTCCTCTTGCAAATCAGCTTCAATCTGCTGAAGCTCTTCTTCCTGTGATCTGGTAGCAGTATTAGTTCGTTCCGGTGCTTCTTGGTGAGGCATCATGGTGAATAGCATCACAGTGGACATTCTATAGGCATTGAAGTTTCTTGTTATATTATTGACAGAATAAGTTTATTGTGAGTGCCCGAGTTATTCAGTTGATGCGATTATTTTTTGGAATAATGCGTCAAGTCGGGACTGCTGGCTGACATACTGCGCTCTGGGATAGAGCGCGTTGAACAATCGGCTCAGTCGAATAGATCTTGGAGCCAACCGTTCGCTGCAAGAGCGACTCTGCACGATTCCAAAAGGAAGTCGCAGGAAAACATAATTGCCTCCCCGCATCACGAACCTTTCGCCAAACACGACTAATGGCTAATGGCATGGCAGCATGACCCAGCATTTTAATGTAGTTCGAATGCTTCGACTACACTGCATACGCAGGACAACCACGACTCACTCGCAATCAATGACACAAAGCATCTAACGAAGCAACCAACATCATCATATGATGTTTCTATTCCTAGGAGCTTGGTGGTATAATCACTTTGTGCACAGTAAAGTTCAAGAGTGATGTTTGAGAGGTCTTGGTGGGATTATCAGTATAGACGACGTCGTGGCCGCTGCGTCTTTCATCATCACTATCACATCCGCGGCAGCGGGCACACAAGGCGGATGTATGAGCGTGTACAAGACAAGTCGATGGTGCAATCCGAAAGCCGTTTGGAATGAGCTGACACCTCCTTCTGGTGAAGTTTGTCTCCCTCTCTTACTAGACGAAGGAATGATATTGTCCATGACAATAAGAAGTTGTCGCGGTGAGGCTGAAGGGCGCTTTCTCAAGCACCGGGTCGCTTGGAACCTGCCAGTGGTGGTCGGAAGAAAATGCCATTTTCGCAATCATCTTTGACGCCGACTCCATCTTATCGCTCAAGCAGCAGCTCTTTTAATATACTCCCTGAAGCCATTTGAGCTTTTCTGCAGTGCTTTCATCCAAGGGACTTTTTGAAGAGGAGCAATGTGGTCACTTTTTGCCACCAAACATTAGCTAGGATCCGAACTATTAGACTCCCACCAACCGGATCCAATAGTACTACCGTATTCAAATAATGCGCGGACATACCGGTATATAGCAGCAAGAGCCAAAATAATGTGATATTGTGTTGCATCGTCCGCTCCAAAGCAAGAAGAACGCCCGACTGCAGTAAGAATTAGCGCCACGTACCTGGTACGTTAGACAGCGCTCGGGCTCATGACGAGTTTTATTTTAAGCGCCAGACATTCGGTGTGTTTCACGCGGTGAGTACCGGTAGTACTCCCCAGCATATAGCAACAAAAACAAAGTATCCGTTTTGAGCGTATCGAGCTGAGTGACGTTTCAGTACGAGCGCTCTGAGCTTTGTCATAAACTTCGGCTCTGCATCAGACATTTATTGTGGCGAAACATGGTCAAAGATAGTGAGGCATCGCTTGACAAGAAGTTCTCGATGAGATGGTTTCCGGGCGCTATTTCCGATGGAGCCCGGCCGTAGTTCTACTCTTTCTTACCTGGTGGTGCAACGGCTTTTGTGTTGAAGTTCTGGTCGTTCCTTGTTTTAAAAAATCATGTCGATCGTGGCAGAATCATTGCGGAACGGAAAATCTTTTTTCCTACCGACCTATAGGATACCCGATACCGGAACATGTTCTCACTGGAATTGCACAAGTTGAAGTTATATAGCGGGTGTCGGTTGGACGACAGACATGGCGCTTAGTAGTTGCCTTGATACCCATTTTCGGCTGCACGTACCCAGCTTCACCAAGCACCAAAGACCGAACTACCATCTTACGCTTTAGTCTAAGTTGCCATGAAATAGTAGTGGTGGGAAGATGTGATAAGACAAACATGATGTCAAAAAAATGTTCAATGGTTCATCACAGTAAATTCTATCAAGAAAATGTGTCGCATGCCTATGCAAGTTTGTTCTTTAACACCTGATAAAGCATATATATCACCGTGTGTGACACGGCTTCGTTTTATGGTATGGTTGTAAACAAGAACGGAGATTCATGCTGCAACTGCCGCATCGATAGCCCATGGAAGATTCACTAGAAAGCCTTGTACGTGGCGCAGGTGCATATTGCATCCTTGGTCCACAAAAACCATGAACAGTGATATCAAGTGTGCCAAGCACTCGTTTGGCATCACCTCGTTGCCCAGCTTTCTATCAATCACGACGATGTTGTTGATCACAGCAAACTGAAACAAAATGTTATGGTCCATTTCATATGCACTGTAGGCTAGCTCGTACAATCGTTTTGCTTTTAGCAGGGCTTGATGTTGCTGCTGTTCGATCGCAAGCATGTGGTGGGCAAGCGCGGTATTGAAGAGAAGAACGGATGTGATAATTTCAGCACCAATGACTTCGCTGTGCAACGAAATGCCATGTTTGTAGATGAATTCGTCGTTTGCCTCAAAACTCGACTCATCCTCCACCTTCGAAAGGAGCATGCATTGATCCAAACCGTCAGAACAAGTAGAGGAGTACAGCTCATTACAGCACCCCTTGCTAGCTCCTGCACACTGCTCCTGGAGCGATCTAAGACACTTTAGCGCTGTGGATGATGCAACGGCGGCTTTGGAGTAGTCTCGTGTTCTCAGGAAAGCAAGAGTCTCGTCGTTTTGCTCTATGATGGTTTTGAAATTCATTTTCAATCCTGTAAATTTTGAAATTGTGAGCCGAGGCTTGGATTTTGACCTGGTTAAGAGCCATTTTCTCAATTTCGCCCTTTCAGAGCCACCCCAATTGAAATTTCTGCCATCAACATTCGTCAGTCCTGTTCTGATCAGAAGAACAATACACGGGTCCATAATGACGATGTTTGTTCCCAACGTAATTGGGACAGAATGGTACACGTACACGAGTGCCGCGAGCTTGACTGAAACAACAAAATCAGGACTAACTTTTTAGCACCTAATTATTCGCGGTCACGCAAAATTTTCGATTTATGAAAACCCAAACAGCGAGTAGACGAGCCGACGAGCAAAATCAGTTGGCAAGACGATTCCTAAGGAGATGAAAGTATTCTTTTCCCGGCAGTCCATTTACTGCTCAGGTGTTAAAGCAAATGAAGGCTACCGTGCTATTGCACACGCATGCAATGGTTCGTGTCCGTAAGTGAACGGGATTGGCCTTCGCGGAAGCCTGTCGATGAAACGACGATAACACACTCTTTTTAAGAATACGATTCGATCTACGTTACTATCTTTAACATCTACTACTTCGTAAGTCAACGCCTTCGTAATAATATAACGATCACATTTATATGGTTTATCAGATCCAGCAATAACTGCCAAATGTTATCCGACGAACGAAACGAAAATGAATACGTTTGAAATGTATTGAAATGTATTGTATTGAAATGTATCGAAATGCAATGCCATCAAACGTTATGAACATAATAATGATATACGAAATGACATCAAATGTTATGAACATTATGATGAACCGTGCTGAGCAACACCAATGAAAACTGTCACGAATGATGGTGCTGAGCAACACCAATGAAAACTGCCACGAATGGTGCTGAGCAACACCAACGAAAACTGCCACGAATGGTGCTGAGCAACACCAACGAAAACTGCCACGAATGGTGCTGAGCAACACCAACGAAAACTGCCACGAATTGTGCTGAACAACACCAACAAAAACTGTTACAAATCGTGCTGAACAACACCAACAAAAACTGTTACGAATAAAAGAAATGTGAACTAACAACTTGATGTATGACATTGATACAGGCAACATGGCCGCTGTTCCTCCTTTCTTCACCGTACACGACGACATGGTCATCTGTGGCATTGACAATGTCACCCTCTTCCAAGGACGCACACAAGCCGAGAGAATTGCTTACAAAATATTCTCGGACGATTTCACCACGACGATGGACAGCACCATTGACGAACTAAACGAAGAGTTCAAGACCCTCGCAGGATTGACGATTGCGCAAGGACAGATACGCTTAATGCCAGCTATCAAAAAGAACATCCGCGCATTCATCCAATGGT